GAAAAAGTTACTCTAATGAACAAAGATAAATTTCCAACAGACTGCAAAACATCTGGGTTTCTAGTTCCCATGTAGCACGGAGCTGCACGCTGGAGCTACAGGTGTTATGCAGAGAAAAGTTACCCTACCTGCTGAAGGCTCCGCTTGCCTTCTCCGTCACGTGAACATTGTTCACAGCTGCATATTGAGGGAGTAAACAACTTGAGCAACGCTGCTACTTTTAAGTATATTATTAATATACCATACATCCTCTAATACAGGCCCGGGCCTGTATTTGACTCAAGCTCATCAAGCTCCAGGCCTTTATTGGAAGGAGGGCCAGAATTAAAGGCAGGCCTCAATTTCTATTTGAGCAAAATCAACTAATGGTTTGCTGGAGTTTTTGACAATTAAAAGTGTGCCCACATTTTCAAAGTTAAACACATTTCTTTTAACAACGGTAGTTTCTGCTTCAGCCCTCTCCCCTCTCCCCCTGCCCAGCGGCCGCAAACTCACTGATGCACCTGCAGCCTCTCAGAGTTACTGCGGCTCTAAACATTAAAATAATTATTTCATTTTCTGTTCCTCACTTCTGATTACCTTCAGTGGTGTCTGTTTGTTGCAACCACCAGGTACAAAAACTAACTTGTTTTTATTTGACTATTTTTCTGTCCTGCCTGTTTATTATCTTCCTGCATCTCCTCTCAATCCTAAAGAAAAACTGCTACCTGGGTTCATATATATATTCACCTTATGAGTTACCTTTGAACTGCAGTTCTAAAAGATCTACCGACCGCAAAAACAGCGGCGTGAACGCTGCTCGCCGGCCGCATCAGTGACATGTGTCACCGGAGGACAAAACAGGTGATGCGCCCTGCTCCACAGCAGCGAAAAGCATCAGGCACAAATAAAAGACAGAAAACATAAAAGGAAATGAGCCGACATGAACGATCCCGTGTTAAATTTGTTTTTGAGGTGGCGACACCTAATTTGATAATGGCCATGCTCAGGACGCAGATGTCTGGAGTGCGTCAACAATCAGCTTTGCATGCACACGCTGGTTAAGATTAGGATGGGGATGAGGGGAATGTTAAATTGCAAGAGGGTAAACGTCACAATTTGGTCAAATGTCCGTTTTACGGCGGGTGTCAGTACCGACGCTCTAGCACAGCGCGTTGCCTCCCGACACGCAGGAGCTTGTCACCTGCTGACAGCAGGCTGCTGTCTTTTCCGAGGACTGCATCTTGCCGGTCATTATCACGTGACAGCGACTAGTCGATGACAGGCATAACAAGTCACTATAGAGCGGTGAAGTCGACTAGTGACTAGTTCATACAACCCCTGCTACTGCTCCCCAGAGTGTTCTGCAGCATAATCAGCACGTTCTCTTTGAACATGACATCAAATTTTTGCCTCCTCTTCGTCTCCGCACCTGCCATGGTTAAAGTTACCCTCGCGGTCTGTCACTGTCAAATCAAAAGTGAGACGATGACACAACCGCCCCCCCCCCCCCCCCCCCCCCCCCCCCCCGTACTTGCTTGTTACCACATTCCACCCGGCCACAATAAAAAACCGGCCATTATTCACCTCCGCCGACTCCGACACCGGCCAAAATATGATACCCGGCAGTTAAATGAATACAGGCTAATATTGGAGGATTTACGGTAAACAAGTTTTTAATCGGTGTACTTCCCAAAAAATTAAAGTGAAACTTAAATGACAATTTGGATGTGTTCTTATTTTCATGCTTTCCTGATTTTTTCCCCCCTTTTTTTCTTAGCTAAAATGTTTTTATTTTTTTCTTCCTATTTTAATGTTTTTCTGAAAAGTTTTGTATCGGGACTCGGTATCTGCAGATACTCAAAATCAAATGACTCAGAATCGAATCGGGAGCCAAAAAACGGGATCGGAGCACCCCTATTAGAAAGTCCTCGTTCATGTGTCTCCTCTGCTACTTTGTGAAGACTTTTCACTCTTCGCTCCTTTTGCTGAATTGGAAAGAGGAAATGCAGAGTGTGATTTTGTTAGATTGGAAGATAAATGAGTTTTCTTTTCTCAGTACATTTTTTTGTGATTATTTCCTTGTTGTTTTGCACGTCATAGATGTACATCTAGAGAAGTATTGTGACCTACAGCAGAATGGTCCTTCTGTGTTGAGACTAGCAGTTAAACTGGTTGGAAGTGAAACTCGATGATTGTCTAGTTTAATCATTTTCACTGATAAGGTCTCAAAATCAAGATTGGTGCCATTTTCTCAGGCAGACCTTGTCCTTTTACCTTTGGCGTTACAGCATAATGTCTGAACTCAGATAAAATCCACATTGTCATGCAGATATGATTGTTGTTTAATCTTTAGGTTCAGCATCAGGCTGCGTGTGAAATATGTTGGGTTTCTTTATGACGTACGAAGCCTGCAGGTCAGAGGGGATAGATGTCAGCTTCAGTTGAATTTAAGACTTGCTCTTTAAAGGCGTGGAACACTGAAAAACCGTTTTAATTATAATGTCTGATTATCTCATGAACTGCCAATCATTATCTGATCAGAACGCCTCTGACTGCCAGTGTTTTTGAGCATTTTTACTGCTTTTTGAAGGGTCACAGATTATTGTGCTCTATGATCTTGTAAACATCCAAACTAACAAAACAAAGAGTAGTATCACTTCTTCGATCAGGAAGAATCTGAGTGTTTCTAGCTTTTTCCGTTCCATTCAACTTTACTTTAGAGGGATGATGTTTACCCTCAAGATGCACGAGCTCATTCTCAAGCTTGCCTCATTAAAAAATGTGAATGAATTATAATCGGTCACGCAGGCTGAACATGAAAATAGTCTCCTGCACCTATCTCCTGCATTAGCTTCTGATAGAAAATAAACGGTGAAACTCTAGAATTAGAAAATCCTGACAGATCTACACCACACTGTCACTTAACATTCATAGACTCACCCATCTTGACTCTTGACAGGGAAGGCTGTTGTTGGTTTAGCGTCCAGGAAACAGCAGAGAACGTCTTGGCTAGTGTAAGCTAACATTTAGCATTAGCAACTCCACCACACAGCAGAACTCCTCCAGGCTTGTGTTATTTGTGGAGATAAAACATCCAAGTTGCAGAGCAAACAGAGTCAGTGGTAGAGTTGTGTTGCTGTTAGCCAATCCAAGGCGAGATGTCCAAATATCAGGAAATAAGTGTCCAAATCCTGCCGTCTGAAACTGCTTTCTCCTCCAGCTGACTTGAACTTCCTGATTCAGAGGCATCCAAGCTTTTTTTTTCTCCACCCAGTATGACTTTCAAGGCATTCATTCCTATTAGAGACCACTGCAAACGTATTGATTAAACAAGTGTTCAATACATATAGAATGGAATAGAATAGACTTCATTGATCACACGGTGGGGAATTTCACTTTAATAAGTTTTCATCTCCTTTTGATTTTTTTTTACTCGTAGCAAAAAGAAAGTGGAGAAGCACTGTTAATAATGTTTTTTTTTAATGTGCGAAACCTCTTCCCAGTAATAATGCTCACTATCACGTTACATCAGCATCCTTCCAACACGTTGTAGCCTTCATCCAGGCTCCTCCTAAACCCGATTAATGGAGAATGAAAGCAAAGGAATTTTTGCACATTGGTTCCAAAAATGTATTTCACTTAAAACACCCACAGTAAAATAAACGATCATCTACATAAAGAATACGGAGTCTATTCAGACTTATTAAAGCCTTATGCATTATGTTTTATTATATATAAGCTCTTTTTATTATTATTCTTTCATTTTTCTACTTTTTTCTTTGCAAGTCTGCCAAGATGTTGCACTATGCAGTGTGGACAAGGACATGTGACTCTCTGTTTATCGTCTTTGCTGTTGTTTTCCTGGTTACCAGACTGGTGGTGTTTCCTAGCAGGTGAGGCTGAATGTTAGAATTAGCCCTCCCGCTGTCCTAATGGGTGTGACCCCATGAGGAAAGTTGACAATTGAGCAGGATTGATGGTTTATCCCTTGAGGTCCATGTGGCAGGGGTGAGGAGTGAGCACCACCTCACCCCTGCCATGTGGACCTCAAGGGATAAACCATCAGTCCTGCTCAATGGTCAACTTTCCTCGCGGGGTCACCCATAAAGACAGTGGGAAGGTCAAGTTGTGACTGAACGCTCTGAAACACCAACTGTCTCACTATCTCTTCTTCAGAATCATCCACACCACCATGGTGGTCTCTATGGACTTCTTCCAGCCCTTCTTTGGTTATTATTTCTTCAACGCTCTGCTGTTAGTGCTACAGGCGCTGCACGTCTTCTGGGCCTACCTCATTGTGCGGATGGCTTTTAAATTTGCCTTCATGGGCAAGGTGAGGATTACTGAATTAGCTACAGACAGATGTAGAGGTAGATAAACATTCATGGCCTTTAACCTTTCATAATAGGTTGAGAAAGATGAACGCAGTGATGCAGAAAGCGAGGTGGATGAAAACGAAGAGGAAGAGGAGGATGAGGAGTCAGAGGAAGAAAGGGATGGATCCAACTGGGAGCAACAGAAAGAGAGGATCAACTCCAAAAGGACATCTCTGGCTAAGAACTGTGTCCTGAACAACCTGACCAACCAGAGGAACATAAGCAGCAGGCTGCCTAAAGCCAGATAGTGGAGCTGTTCCCTCCATCTGCTTTCAGAGAAAAACTCCTTCCTGTCATCAGTTCAATGAATAAAGCTTATGTGCATCGGGGTCACTTCACAGTAGTTGTTCATCATACTCTTCTTCAAAGCACAAAGGACCGTGTAAACGTACATCATTAGTGAGACTATAGGACAAGATGCTAAAACACCTCGGGTAAAATAAACGATTATTAACAGATCAGTCCTTCTTCATGTCTAACTGTAGAGTCTGTATTTATGCTGCTTTTTATAAGTCATTTGTAAATATCTACGGAAAGGAACTGCTTAATTCATCATTTGTTTTTCGAGGGACTAAGTTTGATTAGACTGTTAAGTGAAATGTGGTGTGATGTATTTTAGGCAGAAGAATCCTAAAGCTATCTTTTATTTGTAATGAACCCCCACGGCTCGATAGTTCCTTTTGTAGACAATATTTGAAATCTTGTAATTTGTTTAAAAACTTTTTTTATATATATTTGTTGTAGTTTTACTTTTTTTAAATGAAAACCTAAGCAATGCTGCGGAAACTCAGATAAAGCTTCTGGTGTTTAACAGCCACAGCGCCCCCTTCTGTACAAAGAGGATGTTCTCTGCTTTCAGTGTCATTTTCCCTTCTTTTTTTTTTATCAAACCCAAAAATTCCAACCCTTGAGCAATATTCAGTCTCTAGTTGCTGTAAACCCATGACTAGCAGCATGATTTATGAAGGTTTGCACCACTGGAGTTTTGTTTTTGTGCCTTAGGTCGCTGTATTTGTCACTATTTTGTAACGAGCTCTCAGAATGACGTTTGTGTGCTTATCTGGTTCCCTTCATTGTACATAAGCAAGAGAACAATGTCACCTGGGTTAGCCATGAAAGGCAGATGTTTGATGGTCAGATGTTTTTATTCTTGCATTGTCAAACCATTTTTACATGAATCTGCTGGTATTGTGTAATCTACTGATAATCTAAACACATATTTATTCTGTACACTGGAGCTCAGTCAAATATGCTGCTGCAAAAAGAAACTGCTCCTCAACTCGTTAGTGTTATTCACCTTTGAGTGTGCTCACAATCTGTATAGGATGTGTAAATTTTCCCTGGTGTTGAAAATCAAAAGGGCTGATCCACCAAATAACAAAAAAAGACCCAGTAGAATATTGCTTTTTTTATTAGATATTAGAAAAAATAATAAAAAGAAATTTGATTTTTATTCTATTGGACTTCTCTGCAATGAGTAACCATGGAATATTCTGTTTAATGTGTGGTATTGAAAGTTTTAATAAACTACTCATGTTGAATAAGAGCTTTGAAAAGTGTTTATTCTATCTTGTATTTCAAATTCACACGAAGAAACATTTATTTAAAGGGATGCACCACCCCTAAGTATCCCCCACAGTTAGATAGTTATGAAAAAGGATTTTGTAATCTGCCCAGTTATTCCCTTAATCTGGCAGTATTTCATCAGCTTTAGCTTAGCATAAACAATTGAGTGAATGGTAACAGCTAGCATTTTGTGTGAAAAGTCATGAAAATTACTCAGTAATGATCTTAAAGTGACGGTGTGTATTTTTCCTGGTAATGGGGGGCAGTACACACCTAAAAAGTTGCAATAAAGCAGTATTTTTGTGTTTGAGTGGACCTTACCAAGGATGGCCATGGACAAAAATCCCTGCGAGATCAACCTCCAGCAAAATGACAAGCACATCAGACTCTGTTACATCACTGGCAATGAGTGAAGAGGCAAATGTGTAAATCAACATTTATGAATGGTGAACGTTTTTTTAAGTTTTCTTTGTTATAAATCAGTAAATGCATTTTGTTCCCCTGTAGAAGGAAACATGGCGTCTGAAATCACCCAAAGACTTGGACCCACTCCCGTGTGTTTTTGACCAGAGTTTGATGATTATATGTTACGAAGCTGCCAATATTTTTCAACAACTGGGCATCATTTCATTCATTTTCAACATTTTGATGGATGGGTGGTAAAACTACACATTGTCTCTTCAATTTCTCTTGGTGAACTCAAATTTAAATGAAAGTAATAAGTAACATAAAAGAATTCATGCAGATTTAACCGTCTACTCTGAACCGTCTACAGGTGGTTCAGAATGCCTGTGCTCGGCTTCTGACCAAGTCCTCCAAATACACCCAAATCACCCCGCTTCTCCTCCAGCTTCACTGGCTGCCAGTCAACTTCAAGGTTCATTTCAAGATGCTGGTTCTGGTTTATAGGGTCTTACATGGACAAGCACCATCTCTACATTAGTGATCTTCTTAGTCCCTACACTCCCAGCAGGTCCCTGAGGTCCAGTGATCAAAGCCTGCTGGTTGTGCAGCATCAGGCTAAAGACCAAAGGTGACAAATCATTTGCTGCTGTGGCCCCCAGACTCTGGAACTCTCTCCCCCTGAGCCTGAGTTCAGTGGACTCAGTGGTCTCCTTTAAAAAGCAGCTGAAAACTCATCTGTTCAGACTGGCTTTTGTATGACCTTCATCATCCTCTCCTTATTCAGCTCCAATTCTCCCTCTCCCTTTTCATTTTCTCTCCCTTTTTCCTTAAATTTTTTTTCTTTTCTCCTTTTAAACATATTTTTAATCATTTTTTAAATCTTTTTATACTTTTTTTTGTTTTGTTTTGGTGATGGGCCTCGTGATTTTTATCTTGAGAGGCGCTTTATAAAAGATTGTCGTCTTCTTCTTCTTCTGCTGCGACTGTCATGTATCCAGTCGATGATAGTGTATTTACTATCATGTTAATGTATTTCAGATACTTTCTAACATGGATATGTTTGTCCTTCAGCTCCACCTCTTCGTGCGGTCAGCACCTCTAACCCACAGTTCTCGTCATTTCCATCCACGAATAAAAGGCTTCTTTGTTCTCCTTCTTTCACGAGTGAATAAACGTCAGTAATCGCTGACTTTTTCCCCGAGACGTTCTTAGATCTTTTTTGAGGGGGCAATGGCAGTGCTGGTGACAAAGTTAAAGGAAGCTTTTGACGGATAGTTAAATATTTGGGCAGGTCTCCATCAGCCTCTGTGAGCCCGTCGGAGAGCTCTTGCACCGATGCATTAAGGCGTTGCACGTCTCCGTGCCCACGCAGATGGAGACGTATAAATCAGGCTTAAGCCACCGTTACAAGGTGCAAAGACATGAAACAGCAACCCCAAAAGACACCCACTTCAATTGTCATGTAGTCAACAATTCTAGTGCAACTTCTTTTGCTATTCCTTTAAAGAAGTCAATCAGCTACAAGCCTAAAGATGCCATGTATTTGTGTCTTTTTGAATTTGAATGGTTGAAATGCTAGTTGTTGCCATTCACTTACATTGTTTATGCTGAGCTAAAGCAAACAGAATACTGCCAGATTAGGAGAATGACTGGCCTGATTACAAAATGCTGTTTCCCATTTATCCATCTTTTGGGATAACGGCCACAGAATAAATTTCACCTAGAGGTGGTAAACCCCTTTAGGGCATCTTTACTGTACATAAGCAAAAACAGTGGAACAGATGTTGAGTCTTGTGGTGTTAGGTGACTGCCCTCATGGTGACACATCCTCTGAGGGGCACTGGACAGGGCAGAGCGTCGTCTACCTCAATGCACGTGTCTATGTAGGGGTCAAGCAGCAGCATGTTTGGAAAAGCTTTGTTACTTTTCCTCTCACTGACCAGATAGACCTGACCGCTGACCGTGGCGCAGCCGCAGAAGAACTTTTTCTCCAGATTCTCCTCGTCTAGCACCGTCCACTCGTCAGTGTCCACATCAAAACGCAGCGCTTGACCTCCAATCAGATAGAGAGCGCTGTTGAGCTCTGTGGCTACCAGGTCGTACCTTCGATAGAGTTCAAAACCGTTTAAACGTTCTGCTCGACGTTTATTCTCGTGAGGGAGACAGGAGAAATGTTGGTATGACGAAACTGGTGAAGATCAACTCACCTCGGAAATGGAGAATAGGAGACCACATCCCACTGATCCTCCTTCACCACATACCTCTGAATCCCAGCATACACATCCCCATTTTCATCCAGGCCACATGCCACATAGATGCATGTTCCCACAGCGGCGGCGGCTGCTCTCTCCACCGCCCGGACCATAGGGCTCTTTCCCTCCCAACCCTCCCCTGCTCCAAGAACCAGCTTCTCCACATCAGCCACAAGACTTTCATCCATACTCCCACCCAGAACAAACAGGGCTGAGCCCAGCCCTATGGAGCAGTGGCTGTGTCTAGATTTCTGCAGGGCTGGTCCGTCCACCCAGCGCTGGTTACCACATTCATAAATTCTGACCCAATCCACACTGAACCACAGCACGTCCCGAAAGTAGCCACCAGTCACAACCACGTTGTCCCCTAAAGAGTGAGAACATGTACACGTATGCTGTTAGAACAATGTCCTGAGATGTCGTGCAGCAATTAAACACAATAACATCATAATATTCACCACACACTCATTACCCACTGCAGCCACAGAGTACTGAGTTAGGTTCTTCCTCTGCAGAGGTGCACAGCGCTCCCATCTGCCACTGTGAGGATGAAGCTGATACAGCGCCTGTTCCTCCTGATCATGAGGCCCACCCAGGATGTAGAGGCTCTCTCTGGCCCTGGTCCTCCTCATTGACCTTCCCACTGACCAGGATGGTGGGAAATACTCATTGACGTTCCTGATGAGCCTAGCTCTGGGATCAGAGCCTTTCATTGTGGTCAAGAGCTGAGAGATAAATGGTAAGGAGAGAGATTCAGGCCTCACCAGCTCAACGAGCTCCAGGAAATGTTCCTCTCGTTTAGGGTCAAAAGACACCCAACGCAGGGTGGCCTCCAGAGCCAGATCATCTTTAAAGATGGCCAGGTCATCACTAGCAAGGAGATCTGCTAAAAAGTCTTTGGAAAGGCATAAGAAATCATCTAGAGTTGAGAGAGCTGAGAAGTGTGTGAGTGCCACCTGCCGCGCTGCGGCATGTAGCTGGGAGAAACCAAAATGCCAGGCGTAGGCCATCATTCCCAAACAGTTGCTGAGGTGCAGCTCCCGCTCCAGAAATTTGCAGCACAGTAGCCTGGGTTTCTCCAGTTGTAAAAAGTCTGCAGTCTCTAGGATTCCCAGAACGTTTTCTCTGTCCAGTGCTAGGCTTTGGGTCACACTGTAGGCCATTAACACTTTAAAATATTGGAGAGCAACACCTTTGATCTCTACCTGCGTCTTGTTTCGCTCCACACCACAGCCAAAGAACAGAGCCCTGAAATAAGGACTCTGGAAGGCCAGACGTTGACGGTTGACATAAAAGCTCTCTCCTCCTACCCGTAGGGTGGTATCTGGGATTAAATCGGTCTCCGAGTCCTTCACATGTAAAACAGATTCATCCATGTCTGTTTTGTTGTAGCTCACGTAGAAGTCCCCTCTGCAGGCCGTGTCATTGCAAACAGCTTCACCAAAATATCTTGACCTACTTGTGGTTTGCAACCCACCAACTGGTACACAGTCAGGGTTTATTAATAGTAGTCATGTGTGGGTCATGACCAAGCTAATTCAGTGTGCTGGCTTGTTCATGTCAATGACTGGAGCAAGCTCCATGCTGAGAGCCTTTATTGGTTATTGATTTTTTTCCCAATAACAATACTGAAACTCAAATAATTAGAATATGGTGCAAAAGTTCACTTATTTCAATAATCCATCTTAGACTGAGAGACCATCTAAAGGCTCGGGAACCCTTTGCAGATGTTTTTGATTAATTAGCTGGTTAGAGTGCGACACTTTGAGTCTAGAGTATTGAACCTTCTCGCACGTTCTGTTTGTCTGAGATATTTAGTTTTAGATTTTTTCGTAAGCTGTAAGCCATAATCATCACACTTATAACAAATAAATGATGGAAATATCTGGTTTTGCATAGAATGAGTTTATCTCATGAATTTGTTTCACCTTTTAGGTTTTTATACTGAAATCAATAAACTTTTGAACCATGTTCAAATTTTTTGAGTTTCATCTGTATACATTTTATTTTAAAAAGGGTTTCATTGTGGGGCAGTTGGAAGCACTGGTGACTCACAGGAACAATGTCATAGGTTTAAACCTTGGCTACGGCCTTTCATTCTCTCCATGCATGTGTGGGTTTGCTCTGGGTACATGCTCCTCCAGCAGACCAAAAACTTACAAGCTGATCGGCAACCCCAACTGTCTTTAGTTGTGAACTCAGTATTAGCATAGTTTTTAACACTGTTACATACTGTTTTGATTGTGAATTTAGCTAAATAATAAACGAAAAAGGCTGTTAGAGCGAGTTTCCCACTTGCTGATAACAAAAGTGTTATAGCGTTTTATTTAGAAAGCGTTTACAGGCAGTTTTCTCTTCTCCATCTCCATCAACCAAAAGAAACAAAAATACAGATTATGATCCCCCCCCCCCCCCCCCCCCCCCCCCCACCCACCCCCAGTTTCATTGCCATGAGACTAGAACGTTCCCTTCTAGCTTCTTAGAACCAGATTGTAGTTGCAGTTTATCCCCACTGGAGGGCGTAGATTTCTTCTGAGATTGTAGCCTGTAGCTATTAGCTATTGCACAATGCAGCTGAGAAAGATGAACGTTTTTCCCAGCCTGACAGCGTATTAAGACAATCACATGAGTGTGTATTTAACTCATTACGTTTTAGTAGAGATGGTAGTCCCGAGACTTTTACAAAAATCAATATTGTTTCATTTTACTTTTTATGGTCTACAGCTGGACCTCTCTGAACCCTCTGAACGCGTTATCTCATTGGATCACTATCATTTCCTAGGGTCTAAGATTTACTTCCGGGTCTTACAGTAAATATGGCGGTGAGTTCGTAATCCATGGCTTTCATTATATTGTGTTACTTTTTATCTTTTCACATCCACATTTGTATTGTTAAGATTTAGCTTTGTTTTCTGAACAAAAGTCGACTTGAACAACTTTTATTTTGCTGTGACGGTAGACGTTTTACTTAAATAACGTGGCTAGTAGTGAGCTAAGCTAAGGCTACGTTTTGTTTGTGATTAATTAGTGACTTAAGACAATGTAACCTGGCCTTTCTGCAGGATAAAGAAAAGAAAAAGAAGGAGAGCATCTTCGACTTGTCCAAGTATATCGACAAGACGATTCGGGTGAAGTTTCAAGGTGGACGAGAGGGTGGGTGGACCAAGCTGTTGCTAACCCTTTCATTTAGTGCAAGCAGTAAATGTCTAGATTTCCTTATGTGGAAGCCTAAAATTTGTGTTTTCTTCTCAGCAAGCGGCGTTTTGAAAGGATTTGATCCTCTGTTGAACCTGGTGCTGGACGGCACGATCGAATACATGCGTGGTAAGAAAACCAAAACTCAAATCCAGCCAGAAAACTGCTCCTCAGTCTGAGTCCATGTTTATATCGATGAAGGACTTTTCCTGAACACATTCCAAAGTTCCCCAACACACATAACTATAAAGTAATAATTCGCATTAATTTCACCCCTACCGTCATCTTTAAAACGATCTACAGTTCGTGAAAATAAGCATGTTGATCAAAACATTATGTTCATGTTCAGAGCATGTTTAAGACATTTTTCTACTTCACTTTTTTGAGTTAATTTATTTTTCAGTAAATTATCAGGAATACGTGTGTGTGTGTGTGCGTGCGTGCGTGCTAATCTTGTTTGACAATAAAAGCAACATAATTTTAGATTATCTTCAGTGGACGAACATTACATATAATTACATGTAGACAAAAACATGTTGCTGCTATGTTTAAAAGAAGAAAATTCACAGGCTCTAAATAATTCATTCTAAAACATCAAATAATCCGAGAGATTTTCTGGGCTTCAAATTGAAAAAAGGTTTCCAAATTTTCAAATCACGCCCTTGTATGTAAGATTAATTTTTCAGTTTCATAAAATTAAGAAAGTCTGTGTGTAAAAGCATCTGTGGAATTGTTTTCTTTTTGTACAAACAAACAGAAAACATTGTGTAGACACCTCTCTACTGGAACAGTGTGTTGTTTCCAGGTAAAGGTAAGTAGCTGGTTGTGTTTTTTGTGCTCTTACCCTGTAAGGTTACTCCACCTATCTCCTCTACCATCACTGTGGATTTGTTGAAAATGTGATGCTAGTTTGAACAAACACTGGAAAAATGCTCAAGTTTCTAATTCTCAGTTTAGTGTTTGGAGGGGAGGGTTGAGCTAATATTCAGAGGAGTCATGGAGGCCACTCGGGTGGAACAAAAACCAGAAACATGTGGGGGGAAATTAAATTGATTTAAAAATCCCCAAACAAAAGATGAGTGGCTTTTTTCAGTTTGAGGTTTGTTCTTTAGTGGTCGAAGCAGATTTTTAACAGTGATAACAAATCAAATGTTGTTGGTTTTTTATCGCTGTTACAAGTGGTCGTCTTGTGTGGACTTAACATCTTTGAAAAATACATCTGAACTGAAGATGGTCAAAACAAAAAAATCAAAGGTCTCACCATTCATGTTTTAGTTTTGAGTGCATTCCGGTAAAATGCTTGGTGGACACCCAGCTGCTTGACATTTCCAGTGTGAACGTTCTGTGGCTTTGTGTGCAGATCCAGACGACCAGCTGAAGCTGACAGAAGACACCCGACAGCTGGGGCTGGTGGTCTGCAGAGGAACCTCTGTGGTGCTGATCTGTCCTCAGGATGGCATGGAGGCCATTCCTAACCCATTCATCCAGCAGCAAGATGGATAACCCCCATGCTGCTGCGTGGCACACTTTTGATTAGACTTTTCTTTTTTAACATTACAGGACACTTGTCATTCAGACGACAAACATGTTTTAAGTTCATCACTGGTAAAATAAGGCTCCGTTGCACTTCAGTTTTATTTCCCTGCTAATTTTGCTCATTTTTGTGTTGTGAGGAGCTCCCAGTTCTGAAAGTGTTAAAACAAATTTCTTGTTATCTGAGTGAACTTTTTACTATTCTTTGTTTTTGATAAGAAAATAAAGTGGAAAAAAAGCTGAATCTGAATGTTTTTCTCCTTTGAACACAGAGGACGTGTTGGAAAGTTACACCAGATATGGTCTATTCGAAAGGGTGACAAGGATCTGAGTGGTTTTGTTGACCCGACAGACGTCCCCTACCTGCTGGTTGTGACTGACTCGATGGGTCTACAGACTACTGAACTCTGCAGTAAAAAAAAAAAAGATGAGTGTGTTTAGGTTTAAAGGGAGTTTCTGTGTTTGAAGATAAACCGTTCAAGCTTGTCTGCACACTCACAAAGACACATATGTGGCATTAACAGCTTTTAAGTCAGTAATGCATTAAGCTGGGGTGGGGGTGTAAAGTAATGATATCTATGGATTGTTCCTTTTGAAAGAAAGGATCTTCAGTAGATTTTGGCGTTGGAGAAACGCAGAAACAAAATGCTGATGAGTTTTAAGTGAGATAACTGAAGCTGTTTTTTAAAATGGCAAAATTTTTACTTAACTGGATGTGAAACCTCCTAAAAGTAGGTTAGAATAGTGACTTATGGAAGTCTGAGAGAATTGATGGTTTGTCAGGTGTTTGAGCTTGGAGAGGAGTAAAAAGGCCAAATTCCAGGAAGCTTCGCCCCTCCCCTGCTGCTCAGTCACTGTGTCAATGGAGCACGTACAAGCAGGCTTTTAGACGGAGCAGGGCGCTCCACTAAGGAGCATGCTGCAGTCTTATCGCACCTCTTACTCAACTTGATAATGGTGGATTTGAGGGGATTCTACACTTTCCTGGAAACTATGGAGATTTTAAGGTGACAGGAGAGATGCCTGTGTACACCTGGGTGTGACGGAAGGGATCAAGACGGATGGAAGGAACTCAGGACTGGGATTTCTGAGGCTAAACAGGACCTCTTTGGGTAAACAGGAGTAATTTACCTGCTGGACACACACGGCACGCCCCTGCCTCAGGTGCAACAAATAGTGGATCCTTTGGCCCCGTTGCCTCATCCTCCATCTGACTTTCTGCTCCTATGTGCGCCGAGAATTGCGGGCGGTCTCCGGTGTCAACTTTCAGAGTAATGAGCAGGGACAAAGGTGAGTGAGGCTGCTTCAGTCACAGGATAAAGCCTGTATTGTTTATCGCTGCACGCTGATGCTCAGAAGGAAAGAAAATGTAACATCTTTCAGTAACAAAATGTGAAACTGGGGTTTAGCGACAGTTTGGTGCATTCAGAGACTTAATGTGACTGAAGACAAAATCGGTCTGCTCTAAAATAAAAGAGCAGACAAAGTGTCAGTCATGCTTTTGCACAAACTTAACTTTGTGATTTTTACAAAGCAGTGCAGGCCTTTTTGAATCTAGACTTGTTATAGAAAAACAAATCTGTGATTTTTGTCCAAATTGAACATGCATATTTGCATGCATGCATTTCTACCACATTTATTTACCACATAATTTTTTCATGTGGCAAATTCAACTGAATGTTATAAGTATTTCTTGCATGTTTGTATTTTGTCCGATGTATTCCTTTTTAATTATTATTCTTTGGTCCCAGATGTGATTTGCTGCTGTGATACCAAAATGCCCTCATTGAGTGACAATAAAGTGATTTTCTATTCTATACATTCTAATGTTGCATTTCATATCGTCGTCTGGATCCTGGAGGCTTTTTGCCGTGACACAGTGTTTGAGCAGATGTTTGTTCGTCAGGCATTGTGATTCGGACAGTTGAATGTGAGCTGTGAGATCAGTGCTGGGATTCCAACATGGACACCAAGAAGGATGGGGGAGGAGGAGGGTCCTGGTACTCTTCTCCCTCCAGCCCCAGCTGCTACAGAGGCGTCCTCATCATCTGCATCCTCCTTTTCCTTCTTATAGGCATCTTTGTAGGCCTTGCTGTAGGTGAGTCCAAGCATGATTGTGCTTCTTTTTTTTTTTTTTTGCTTTACCATTACATTTATCAAACATCTTCTGAAGAAACCAGCTGTAAACATTTCCCTGATTTCTCCACCTTTAGCATACCTGGTGGAGGAGCCTCGTCCTTTCACGGAGACGGTGGAGCTGAAGGGTCTGAAGTATGACTCTGCGCTGCAGAACGAGAACTCTGGTTTCTCCATGGTGCTTTCCTCAGCTTTAAAGTCCAAAGTGAGTGCAGACTCACCCCGTAATGGCAGCCATTATTTTCTTTTAAAAATGCTGAATGATCACGCGTCTTCTCTTTCAGATTAAAGATATTTTCATGGCCTCGTCTGTATCAGATCACTTTGACGACTGCAGCATTGTCGCTTATGGGTGAGTAAAAGCTGAATGGAGATCTGTTACCTATAAAAAGCATCCAGACACCAAAAAAAAAAGCTGCAACGTCCTTTTGGTTCTGTCTTTCCAGTAACATTCACGGTGATGTGATGGCGACGTTAAGACTGGACTTCAGGGTATCTAAAATTCAGCACTATTCAGAAAACTTTGTCCAGGACGTACTGAGAGCAGGGCTCGGCTCGGTGATGAATGGGAAACCTCTAGAAGTGCCAGGGTTTGGAAAAATCAGCGCTATTGTCATGATAGGTAGCATGCTGACCGTCTGATAGGGGAAGAGAGTGGCAGGAACTATAATCCAGATTAAATGTTTTCCTTTCCTTCCTACAGGAGCCACTGGGAAGTCATTTTATGTCATTGGAGATGCAATGACGGGTGAGTACAGAGTTTTTCTAAATATTGATTTTGTAATATTGTACAAAAACTACATCGGAGGATTCACACACACACCCCTGCTGCACTTGCAGTAGATAAACTGTAATCTTGAAAGTTAAATTGAAAACTGGAGTTTTCTTGTTTCGTCTCTCATCCAAAGCTTTTCCAGTTGAGTGTAAGAGTTATTGCTGGGGAGTTATTTCAGACCACAACTCATACGTCTCCTACTACAACCCATGTTTTAGAACTGAAGAAGCTTCTTGGATGAGAGGTGAAACATCTTCACAATGATAAGAAAAGTTGTTTTCAATTTAATTTAAACGATTATCATGCCCTGGATGACTACACAAATGTAGATAAACAGTAAATGTACAACAGGTATACAAGAACAAAATAAAGAGAAGACAGATTTACTTTTAAAAAGTTGAACTTCATCTATTTTATGTTCACGCACTTGTCTTTTATCCTCATTTTCTAATCATTTCATTCGTCTGGCCCCTCTAGCCAGATGTCCTGAAAGGGCGTTCACCTGTGACAACGGAGAATGTATCACTAAAGTAAACCCAGAATGTGACCACATCACCGACTGCGCTGATGCCTCTGACGAGGCTCGCTGTGGTAATCCCTTCTTATAAATCCAAAACAAATATTTTGGTGAAGACGAGCTTCATTCACTCTCCACAAACTGTCTCCCCCACCAAGACTGCGGTGTGCGTCCAGCGTTAGAGAATCGGGTGGTGGGGGGTGAGGATGCTCGGCTTGGGGAGCTGCCATGGCAGGTCAGTCTGAGGTACCACTCTCTGCACACCTGTGGAGCCTCCATCGTCAACGAGCGCTGGCTTGTGACTGCAGCTCACTGCTTTGAAGGGTGGGCAAAATATATGACTTTCCTTTAATCTACGACATATTTTCAATCCAGCTTATGAGAATCTGTAACAAAAAGAAGCACTTGTGTCTGTTCTGTTCTAGTACCGCTGATCCCACTGAGTGGACAGCCCTGGTTGGGGCCAGGCTAGTTAACAGTGCAGCACCAGAGTCAAAAATAGTCAAAATTAAGTCGATATTTGTGAATCCGGACTACAACCCCTCGACTACTGACTTTGATGTGACGGTCCTAGAACTGGAGACCCCTCTCACCTTCAGCTCCTACATCCAGCCTATCTGTATACCGGCCTCCTCTCATGTTTTTGAGCCTGGCCAGACCTGCGTTGTGTCTGGATGGGGTGCTCTTCAGGAGTTTAGTTGTGAGTTTGCATGCAAACACAAATAAATTCAGATTTTATTTTATATTATATTATATTATATTATATTATATTATATTATATTATATTATATTATATTATATTATATTATATTATATTATAGGATGCTTGCTAAATAAAGAACTTGGGACCTCTTTAATAGTCATTTTGAATTTTAGATTTTTATCATTTTTATTTTTACATCAATCATCTCATTTCTTTTTTTAGGTAAATTTAAAAATTAAACATTTAACCATTAATTAAAAATTACATTTAGAATTTAAATGTAAAATTTATTTTGTGTTGCTGAATTGTAGCCAGCAGGTGTCCTGAGACATTAATTGGAACCGTGTTTTTCTGTTGTTTAGTCCAGATTCCCAAAGTACTGCAGAAAGCGTTGGTGAAAATCATTGACTCTAAGGTGTGCAATCAGTCATCTGTGTACAGAGGTGCTATTACTCAAAACATGATGTGTGCTGGATTTCTGCAGGGGAAGGTGGACTCGTGTCAGGTTAGTACGTCCCAACAGCAGGAAAATGCTTATATAGGGTTGGTTTATTAGAAACTCTACAGTAATTTACTGCCTCTGTGATTTTTTTCATCTTGAGAAGCGCTATATGAAAGATTGTTTCTTCTTCTTCTAATTTTTATTTTTTAAATCAACAATTCAGCTTCATTTTTATATTTAATCTAATAGGATCAGAAAAGTAGTTTTTATTTTCAGATTTTCTTAAAGGTGTGTTTCACTCAAATCACTTTTTAATGGTTATTTCTGATTATAATTGGTCACTCTTGAGTTTTTCAAACAGGCTGAACCTGATAATAGTCTCCTACACCAATCTGTTGCATCAGCTTCTGATAGACAATAGACGTTGCATTGCTAGGATTTTAAAAGCCTGACAGATCTACGTGATGCAGTCGCTTGGACTCACACATTCTGGATTCGTGACAGGGAAGGCTGTTGTTGTTTTAGCGTCCAGAATCAGCAGAGAATGTCTCGCCTAGCAGAAGCTAACTGTTAGCATTAGCAACTCAACCACACGGCTGTAGGTCCTCCAGGCTTGTGTTATTTATGGAGATAAAACATCCATGTTGCAGAGCAAGCAGGGTCAGTAGTAGAGTCACATTGCTGTTATCCAATCAGAGGTGAGATGTCCAAATATCAGGAAATAAGACTCCAAATCCTGCCGTGTTAAGCTTTCCTCTTATGTGGCAGACTTGCCTGTGCTGATGCATGCGTTTCTGGGCTGTTTTTGCCCTGAATACGCTGCAAGGCATTCATTCCTACCAGAAATCACTGCAAATGTATTGATTAAACAGGTTTTCCCACACCTATGACTGGTGTTAAGGTTCTCCTTAATCTTTTTCTTTGAATAGAGAAAATTAGCACATATGTTGATATTTTAAATAAACAGTACTTGTTATATGTCTCAATTAATCAAACTTTCTTGGACTCCCTCAGCTTGCATGATCATGAGCTTTATCTGCAGGGTGACTCCGGAGGGCCTTTAGTGTGTGAAGGAGCACCGGGGAGATTCTTCCTGGCAGGAGTGGTGAGCTGGGGCGTGGGGTGTGCGCAGATCAACAAGCCTGGAGTTTATTCTCGTGTCACCCAGCTCAGAAACTTTGTTCTGAAGTACACAAATCCCACCCTGGTCATGGATCAGACAAAGCTTGTCCCCACTGCACCAGCTCCAGTGACAGAAAGGCCATCTGGTAACCATTCAGCAGTGGCTATGGATGAGCCTTACATACCACCTTTACCTGGTAATGTCAGCCTTAAAGCAGTATCCATTTACTGTTTAAAAAAAACGTAGTTTTTACTAAGGATGCCCCATTCTGATATCGATATCGGCCCAAATACAGTGCATTGGATTATATCGGACGGCATTAAGAATATCCGATATATGCAGTGCGTTAAGGTTCACATTTTTACAACCAATGGTTACGAAAAAATTACCATTTTTTTCATACTTACTATTATTGGCTCTTGTTCTCCGATTAAGTAATATCACTTGATCAAGCCTTTAATACATTCCACACTATGAAATAGGTAAAAGTATGTATGATTTGTGCTGATGTCGTATCAGATTAATATCAGTATCGGTCAATACTGAAGGCTACGATGTCGGTATCGTATCGGAAGTGAAAAAGTTGTATCGGGACATCTCTAGTTTTTACAGGAAATCCCTTGCAGCTGTGGTTACCAGAGATTTCCTGCACAGTAAATGTAAATACCTTAATGAAAAACTGTGTAAATTAATTTACAGTGATTGGAATTACGGCTGAAATCACATTAAATATCTGTTAAATCTACAAAAGGTATTTGCTCGTTTGCATAGCAATGTTGTTTATGAATAAACCCTTTCTGGTATCAAAACCCGTTTACCCAAGTGATATCTCAGCAGGTAGTTTGTGCATCATGGTGTGAGGTATGAAGTAGCACCAAGGGTATTACCTAAGGATTTATACTGGTAGTTAGTATTTCTCCCAGCCTGGATTAGAACCCATGTAAGTCAGGTGCCTTACCAGTTGAGCTATCAAATTGACACGTTAAAGTTGTATTGACATTTGTGTTACGTGTGTGTGTGTGCGTGCGTGCGTGCGTGCACGTGTGTGTGTGTGTGTGTGTGTGTGTGTGTGTGTGTGTGTGCGTGCGTGCGTGCATACACACACTTTTTATTTTCTGTGTCATGAGGATAATGTTGACCTATGAGAGAGAATCTGACTTCCTCAGGATCCCAGCAGCACATAATAACTTCTCAGACTCATCATGATGATTATAAATAATATTTTAAAACTGAAAATATTTCTGTAATCAAAATTGGCTGAATTTAATCAGTTTGTGTTGAAAGCACAGCTTAAACTTGTAAAATGGCTCATAGATCTCTGTATTTTCAAAAAGAACTGGCAAAAAATATAGTTTTTACATTCTTGTTAAAATTAGGTATAAGTATTACAGTATTTTTTTTGTATTGAATACTCTGTTTTAGCAAATAAATGTGTTTATTTTCACATCATGTCAATGTAGATATGACATAAACACATTGTTTAATATTTTTCAAACATTTACTGTGATTACAACAGAAAATGTGTTTTTCAGTGTACAGTACTTTTTTGTTGTGTATTTACACAGTTTTTATGTCAATTTCACGGTCATTGTTTACTGTGTGGTTTGGTTTAAGACTAAAGGATTTTTTCCTGATGTGTTCCAGCCATAAACTGCAGTGAAAACTTCCAGTGTAGCTCCAGTATGTGCATCGATAAAGTCAACCCAGAGTGTGACAGCATCCCAGACTGTCCCAATTCAGCTGATGAGACGAACTGTGGTAATTAAAACACAAGGAGTGCAGTACACAGTGGAGATAAGAAGACTTGTTTGTGAGGGTTTGTTTTTGTTGCCCAGACTGTGGTGCACGCCCTGCGGTGGGTTATCAAAGGATCATAGGTGGAGTAACAGCTCGGAGGGGAGAGTGGCCTTGGATTGGCAGTCTTCAGTACCAGAGACTTCACATCTGTGGTGCCACACTCATTCACAATAAGTGGTTGCTGACTGCAGCACACTGCTTCAATAGGTACTAACGTTTACCTAAAAATCCCTTTGATTACATTTGAAATGAGACCAACAAACGTAACAGCATTCATTCATAACTCACACCCATAGTGATCGAAATCCCTCTAAATGGGTGGTCAGTCTTGGATCTGTGCTGCGATCTGGGGTGGGTGGACTGGTCATCCCCATTCAGAGAGTGATCATCCACCCGAACTTCAACGGTACTAACATGAACCTAGATGTGGCTCTGCTGGAGCTGTCAGTCCCAGCCCTGATGTCCTACACCATCCAGTCAGCGTGTCTTCCTTCTCCAGTGCACCGCTTCCTGAGGAACACAGAGTGCTACATCGCAGGGTGGGGCTCCATGAGGGAAGGAGGTAGGAGATAAACTCTGTGAAACCACATCCAGGTTTCACAGAAGAACACCAAACAGGTTAAAAACAATCGTAAACTGCAGCGTTTTAGTTTGATTACATAAAATACATATGAAGTTGCACTATTTTAGAAAATTTCATTTAAGTGCATTTATTTATTTATTTGTAAAGCCCTTTACCGCCGCCAGTCAAGGCCACCCAAAGTGCTGACAATGCACAAAAATCATAACTGAACAGGAAGTAATAAGATCTACTTATGCAGCGACTAAAATCAGACAAAAAGACAAGTAGGCCTAAAACCAGTTAAAACACATAGCACACGTGTAAAACGTAAACAAACATGACATATTGTAACAAAAATACAAAATAGGACAGATGACCTTGCTGCATCCAAATAGAGCTCCGGACGTCACGTGACTCTCAGAGAGTAGACGCCATGTTGGCAGGCAACAAATGTAAACAAAATGAACGGGATCAGCTTGGATTTTACTTCGTCGGAGTTTACTTCACACTTTAAAACCGAAGAAATCGTTTTATATAGTCAGAAATTAAATAGACTAAACATCTCCGACCCTTACTGTGCCCCTGGGATACTTTTTAAAAATGCCAGAAGCTGTCGGAGCGGACTTCTTACCGGACCTGGCCAGGGAACCCCTTGGGATTCCCCCGGAGGAGCTGGCCCTAGTGGCTGGGGAGAGGGAAGTCTGGGCCTCTCGACGCTTCTGCCCCCACAACCCGACTCCAGATAAGCGGATGAAAATGGATGGATGGATGGACAAATAACAGATTTACACATTAGTAGTTTAAATAGAGTGCTGTGCTGTTTGAATGTATAAACTGAACGCCAAGAGAAATCACTGATTTGATTATTTTTTCCGTGAATAAAATAAATATGTCAGGCAGGAGCGTCTCAGGATCTGTCTGAGATCTGTCTCGGTGAGACAGATGATAGCAATCCAAAGTGCTTTTTATGTGTGATCTGACAACTGATCAACCATTGCTTAAAAATGAAACACAGCTTAGCCGGTTAATTGCTGTGATCATAAAACACGGAAACGGCAGCACGCAGAACTCACGAGGCAACGTTTTACGTGATGTTTACTTGCTGCTATGAGTAATAAGACAGAAAAAGCCACGCCAAAATAAGTTTAGGAAGCCCACTAAGAATCGTAATAAAAGCATTTAAAATAAATACCATACACAGTTGAGGAAACGCTGGTTTAAGTACTTGATATGAAGCGGTCGCTGCATAAGCGAAAACCTTTACTCTCGGGATCCCACAGTTTCATTTCAGCCCGGTCACTAGTGCGTTTTATTACAATGGCGTTCCGGATCTTGGGGAATCCTGTAGATGGCTCATTCCTTATGTCGTCCGCGTCTGTTTTGCATCCTGGGGCACAACAGGAATCTACCATATTTCCCGTTTGACTGAGTTTTCTGACAATAACAAATAGTCCAGCTGCGGGCTTCTGCATGCCAATCTGGTGCCGTTTCGATTTGAACTGTTGCATGCTGGGAGAAGTGACGTCAACTCCCGGAGCTCTATAGAAGGCCAAAACCCTTATTGTCTAAGAACTAGGATATATGCCTTAACATCAACAAAATTAGGCAATATGGCACCCAGAGCACTACCAATGGTAAATAAACCACAGGACCATTACAAACTCTAACAGAACTTGTAACTGATCATGAAGGTTATTTTGTTTTTTGTGGAAGAAAACGCCATGCTCCAACTGATGTTCAAATGGTTCTTTTATCTTCTTGTTACCAGCAAACACCGTGAAAAACTACGGTGAAATGAACAACAATAAACACAAATATTAATTCTAACTGCGACAGCTACAGATCTGTAATACTGTCTCAGCTTAGCTTAAAAAATCCAAATTGAAAAATGCCTAATATCCAGCGGGAGCTCATTCTTCAGTTTAAGCACAAAAAACGTGAATGCTCTTTCTCCCCGTGACTGGCGTTTAGACCTTGGAATAACCAACAAGTCTTTGTCAGATGAGCGGAGGGAATGTACGGGAACGTATCGTTTTAATAGCTCCGTAATATAAGGCGGAGCAGTTCCCCCCAAGAGCACTCTAACTGCAACCCAATGTTTTACAGGAAGCCACTGCAGGTCATTCAGGATCAGGGATATATGGTCCCCCCTCCTCAGCCCATAAATGAATCTGGCTGCAGAGTTTTGCACCATCTAGCTTATTGATTGTAGACTGGTTGACCAGCATAGAGTGAGTTACAATAATCGAGTCGAGAGAGAATAAAAGAGTGCGTTACAATCTCCAAGTCTCTCTTTGAGAGCATCGATTTAATTTTTGACAGGTGATGAAGTTAAAATAAAGCAAGATCTGGTAACTGCATTTATCTGTGTGTCAAACAACAAGGCTGAGTCCAATTACACCTCTAGGTCAGCAGTCACATTTTGAATGGTGCAAGTGAGCTAAGGTCTACACTTTGTGGCCGGTGGTCATTTTGAGTGAACACCACTAGCTCCGCCTTGTTGTCAGTCAAACATTAAAAGTTTGCCTACATCCAGGAGCGCACATCATCTAAGCAGACCAATAATGTCTGCATCGTAGAGTGTGACCCTCGACCTATTGGGGCATATATCCAACAATCGTCAGCATATAGGTGAAAATTTATACTAATCAGCATTCCAAGAGGAAGTATGTCAGGGGTGCCCAATCCTGGTCCTGGAGGGCCAGTATCTAGCAGGTTTTAATTTTAACACCTGATTTCAATCAGCAGGTAATTAACTGGCTTCTGCAGAGCCTGATGAGATGATGCACAGGTGATTTAACCAGTGAATCACGTGTGTTGGAGCAGAGAAACCACAAAACCTGCTGGATACCAGCCCTACAGCACCAGGATTGTGCACCCCCTGGAGCATGTACAGAGTGAACATTAACTGGCCCAGCACAGATCCCTGAGGGACTCCCCATTTCACTGGTGTATCACCCAATGAATATGTCCTCATGGACACAGAAAAGGACATTTCTGACAGATACGACCTCATCCACTGCAAAGCTGTTTTGGACATTCCCACCCACTTTTCCAGGTGATCCAGCAAGATCTGAAATAATCCTTTTGTTAAGCCTAACATTAAGGTAACAATGCTAACAGTGAATTAGCAACAGTCAGCTCTAAACAATTCTCAAGCTGCATTTTTCAAACTTGGTATTACAGTGAAATGTATTTATCTACTTAACTTAAGCTGGGCGGACACTGTGCGACTTTTTCACTTGCAGCACTCATCCTCATCTCAAACTGTACGACTTCCTCACAAAGCAAATCTCACGAGTCATGTTCTCACACTGTACGACCCAGTTCTCGGATGCGACCTGATTGCTCATACCGTACGTCTGGCAGCAACATGTCAGACCTAAAAATATGCTAAAAATAGCAGTTTTTACACAACACGCCAGACCTGTTTTGTGTTGTTATTAAAGTGGCAGTGTGAGCGTCCTTTCACAGTGTCCCGATTGATCGTGCGCCTTGGCTACTTGGCCAAGGGGATGTCCCTTTGGCTGACTGGATAGCGTGCATGACTCTCACCCGGGAGCCTGGGGTTCAAATCCCGCCCGGGCCCTTGTTTCTCCACCTTGCCACATTAACGTCTGTTGTCCTTCGGGAGTGCTGTAGGAGGAGCTAGGACACAGGGGTTTATGGGGGTTGGATGAGGTTTATTTTGACATAAACACGGCAAACACGTTTTCTTGACAATCCTTGTCATTGTGTGTGTAAAAAGAGCATAGAAATAAAAACAAACAACATGTTGTGGCAGTGTGAGTGTCCTGTCACGGTGTCCTGATTGATCATGCGCCCTGGCTACTTGGCCAAGGGGCTGTCCCTTTGTCTGACTGGTTAGTGCGCATGACTCTCATCCGGGAGTCTGGGGATCGAATCCCGCCCGGGCCATTGTTCCTACACCTTGCCACAGTGTGTTAATAGGGAAATAGCTGGCAAGCCGTGATACATGTTTGCGCATGCGCCGTGAGCGGTTCTGGCCACTTCAACTCTCACAAGGGACGAGCAAAATATCAAACACGCAAATCCATGCAAGCTCATGATTGCTGATCAGTAGTGGGTCACGTGGTGTTAACTGCCTCTCGTAACCCCCTGTATACTACAAGACGCTCAGCGCAAAACTCGCCCCGATCTTGTAGATTCTAGCACGAGGGGAAAATCGGCTCAAAAAAGTGAAAATGTTGCAGTGTCCACCCGGCTTTACTGCATATGTCTTGTCTTCACTCGTCATCTAGAGTCTTATGGCGTTGATCCATGTCTGACAACAGCCATGAAACTCATGAAACAAGAGTGAGAGAGTCACTCGTGTGTTTTGAAAATGGACTGCAGTACCCAGATTTGACCACAAGATGACATTCTTACTTCTTTCTTACATCATGCACCTTTAACAAATGACAGCAGACTGGTTTTTTTCTGGTGTGTGCTCTGGAAAAACCTGGAGTAACAGTACAATGATAATTCATAGTTGACTTATTCACTTTCTGTATAGGCTCTTTGATGAACTTGCTGCAGAAGGCTGCAGTGAACATTATCGACCAGGCAGATTGCCAGCAGTCATACGGAAATGTTCTGACTCCTAATATGATGTGTGCTGGTTTAATGGAGGGGGGGAAAGACACTTGTTTGGTAAGATATGCTGTTTGAAATCCACATTTTGTCTTTAACATGTTATATTCTAACCTAGAATAAACAATTCATACTAATAAGAAGCATTTAAATATGTATACAAGAAAGTAAAAGTGTTTATTTATTGCATACTCAGCATGTCTAAAGTTAAGGAGGTCTTTCCCACATCCGTATCCACCCTAAACTTCACCTCTTCTCTTTAATCTTATGTAAGAAAACCCAAGGCAAAGCACCTGTCATCCCAGCAAACATCCAAGTGAAATTATCCTTCTTCTTGCTGCTTTTTACTCTCTTGCTTCACATTCCAGCTCGTTTTCTTTTCTTTTTTTCTCTTTAACTTACTGAACTAAACCCACTGCAATAATTTTAGTAAATTAACACTGTCCTCTTTTTCAATCATCCAGGGTGATTCTGGGGGACCGCTGACTTGCCGTCACCCCTCTGGCCAGTGGTTTATTGCTGGCGTAACCAGCTGGGGACATGGGTGTGGACGAACTGGTTTCCCAGGTGTTTACACTCGAGTGACATCGGTCAGAAAATGGATATCTACATACCTACCTTTCTAAAAAGAGAAGAAAACGACTCTTCCCGTTGAGAATTGGATTTTAAAGCTGTATCTTCTCCACGAAACTGTACTGTACAGGAAGAGCCTGATTCACACATACTCCGTAAACTCTGTGTTGACCTGTGTGGTCATGGGTGCTGTTAAAACACTGTGCAATTATCTGATCTGAGGCCATTTTTCCTTTAACCTGAACTGAAGCTATAATCATGAGCTGTGGATTGTAGACATTCTGCCAACAAAATGCATGGCTGGAAGTATTTTTTAGTTATTTATTTTCCTGATGGGTGAAAATCCTGGTAATGGTGCATCTTATATTTTGATACTGTGTGGGCTTCAAAATATACATCAGTTAGTCACAACATTAAATTACTGATATGTGATGCTTTTTTCTGTATCATTCTACCCTAACAAAATATCACTTCCACAAATGTTGCCATGAAACCAGGAGCGTCTTCCTGCAGGACCATGTAACTCATCATGCCATGATAATCTCTCAGGTATGTCTTGAAGAAGGCAATAAAATAAAAATAAAAGTGAACTCATCCTAACATCAACGAGTGCAAACCAAGAGGATCCAAACACCTGAAACCAAGATCCACCCCATGGTCCGGTGGCCGTAACCAGATGGGTCACAGCTTTCTGATGGAACGCCGACAGGCTGTTAGTGTTGTGGATGATTGGCTTAAGCGGTTTGCATCCGTTTCACTGAAATAACGTGATGTAATTTCAACATGAAAGGTGTTATGTCTTTGGGATAAAATCTTGATGAAAATGACATGAATCTACTTCAAATAAGTCGTTCCCTGAACTGAGGTTGATCAAATGAAATTTGCTTTTGATTTTTAAGTTTCAATTTTATTATTGATGAGAAGTAAATAAGCAGTCTGACCAACATTTTTTCGTTCATTAAACCATTTCTTTCAGGTACAATCACATTACAGGAAGACGTTAGCAGGCTTTTGCTCACTCAGTGAATGGTAGCTGCGGCCATACATCGGACACCTGCACCATTTCAGCTGAGGAAGGTGCTGCAGAGTGAGACAGACCTCTGCTGAAACAAGTCCACTTCTGTGGATGGCAGCAGATAGAGTGACACGGGAAACGTGTCAGACAAAACAGTTTTGTTCTCCAGCTGTACTTTGATATAGGCTGCTCAGAGGGTTGTAAATGTCAGAATCACAGCTGTGAAAACAAAAAATGTGCTTCTCAAGTCCTCCTGAGTTTGGAAAATCCCTTCCAAAGGAAATAAAGTTTAACCCTACCAATAGCTCTACGTGGTTTTTGTTCATATTCTAGAGGATATAAGCGATGTAAGAACTCCATTATGGCTACACAAATTAATTTATGAAGAGGAGTGTAGTGACGACTTTCTCAGGATCCTAATTTACACAACCAGGATTTTTTCTAAATAATCCTGTCAATTTCAAGGACTGGGGTGTCAAAGTCAACCCGTAGAACAAGGCTTATCTGACTACATCAGCACATCAATGACCTGCTAACATAAAATCTAAAATGTCTTAGCAGCTATGTTTGCACTGGTCCACATCACCACGTTGAAGGAGTGCGCTGAAAAGGTCCAAAGAAGATACAAATAATTATACTTTATTGATGATCTGATTCTTAGAGCACAATTTTAAAATGTCCACAGACATTGTTACAGCTTGAAGTCCACAGGCCCCGTCTGCCTTCCTGTCCATGTGAGATGGTTTATGACACAAAGATGTCGTGCAGCTGCCATCATACACCTGTGTCCACAGTTCTGGGCCTCCAGGGTTGCAACGTGCTGGTCTTTATAATCAGCAGCAGCTTGATGAAAGGGAAAATAATCATCACATGCGAGCTCTTTCCCTCTGCAACCTGGAGTTGTATGTCCGAGACACTGTGTTCCAGGCATCCATATATCGGTCCATACACATGGCAATACATTTCTGTGGAAGAAAAGGCAAAAAAGTTAAGGTTCTAGAAAAACATGAAACAAAAATCAGGATCTTGTGGGAAACTCATCTGACTCATTGTTCAAAAAGATGCTGTTTGGGTTTCATTATGGCTCAAAAATAAATAGATGGATTAGCCACAATAAAGTTGTGATGCAATGTGCTACTTAAAGAGAATTAATCCGCTTTTAGTGACATTGTTAGTCTGAATGGGAAAATAAAGGAGTTTAAACCATACCTGTTCAGAGTTGTCCAAGGAGCTCCCTGGTTTACCTATACACTTCTTGAAGCATTTATCGGTCATTCTCTAAAACATAAAAATATTGTAGTAACGTGAGCAGCTCAGAACGTTTCACCAGTTTAACAATAAAACACAGTGGTGAATTAGAATAAACACCCATACTGGGGTCATTTTAAGTGTTTGAAACGGATTTCCATATACCGCTTGTAACATAAAGTGTAATCTATCCAAACAACTTGCTGACAACATCAATGAATCAGTTTGAAATAAACTAACTGCTCTGCGAGTATTAGCTTGGCGTTGGGGTCCAGTGATTTACCTGCAGAAGCTCTTGCGCGTTAGCCACCGCTATTTGGACCTTAACCTGCTCCATGATGGTACTCGTGTCCATCTTCCCGCCGGAACCTCCTGCTGAGAAGTCTGAACCAAACCCGTCCATTTTTATCGGTGTTCTACTTAAAACTGTGACTTTGTAAGAAATATATCAGCTACACGTGCAAACAGCTAATGCTAACTTTATTTCACGGCAGTTTTCAATGCCCTTGACTGAGGCGGATGTGAAATAACGTCACTTCCGTCGAAGCAGCTGTATCCTGGGAAAACGAGTTTTTCAAAGCATGGTTGGTCGCCGCACTTTCCTCTCAAAATTCACGTGAAAATGGAAAAATGAGAATACGGTGCAAATGTTAATTTATTCAACAATTCTACTTAAAAGGTGGAAATAATATAGATTAATCAAATATTTCAAGTCTTTATTTGTTAAAATTACGATGATTATTTCTTACAGCTGATGAAAAGCCCAGATTCAAAACATCAGAAAATTGAATATTGTAAAAAGGTTCAACATTCTAGACTTGAAGTGTCGCTCTCTAATCAGCCGATGGATCCAAGGAGTTCCTGAGCCTTTATGCTCTCCCACTCTAAGTTGAATTGCCGAAAGAAATGGACTTTTGCACAATGTTCTGTTTTATTTTGTTTGTTTTGTTTGTTTGTTTGTTTTGTTTTGTTTTGTGTCCCACCGTAATTACTTAAAGAATTTATGTCCATGGCCGCACTTTCTATGCCAGAAGTGGAAGCAGGCTACCTTTGACTCATTTGACTTATTGAGATTGTTAAAAATATTTGTTAGAGAGTTTTTACTACTTTTTAAAATTTAAATATTGATTTTCTTAATTATATTTATTAGTAATAAAGAATTTATTCAGCTCAAGATATTTTACTCTTTTCATTTTATAAACAGGCCTGAGGATGTAACTAGGTCTATCTTATATCTGTAATCTATACATTAACACAATGAAATTTTAGCAGTCAGCAAGAAAAAAAGTTTACATCTGAAGTAAATTTTAGCGTTGAATCACAACAACAATGAATAATTCTATAATCTCAAATGATCATGTCTTATAGAATCAAATTAAAGTGTATTTTAATTAACTTTATATGTATTGTTTTATTTAAGAGAAAAGTAGCACACTGGAGAAGGTTTTAGCCCGTTATTGGCAGTATTGCAAAATTAAAAAGTCAACCTATTGCTCACCACACTGTTGCAGCAAATCATGCAGGAGTCCTTTGGCTTCAAAAATTTTGTTATAATCAAACACAAGGAGGCGCTAAAAGATAATACTTTTGTTTAGATTATTTAGAATTCATGTATGATCACCACTTAATATGAGGAGCATTGTAAATTGTTTTAGGTGAGAGTTTTATTATGATATGATCAATAAAATGCAACAGACAAAAAGGCTAGCCACCACTATCTTCCTCAGAAAAATTCTCTTTGATTTTAAACAAAGTCCCAGACGAGTCTGTTTTCTGGTGAGTCATAAATAAATACATATTTTCTTTCAATAGGCCTATAAATTAATTCAAACTCACTCACTTGTGCACCTAATGCAGAACTCACCCAAATTTGTCTTTCTTTACTAGCTTCATGTTTTCAAGTTTTGACATGTAAAATTAATTCTACTTTTTTTGAGAAGTAGCTTAACAGTTCCCATTCACACATTCCCATTGTGCAAACTTAGAATAATTTTATTATAAATGCTACCTATGACTTCAAAATATCACCACCTGTCAACCAGAAAAACTAAAACAAACTTCAGGCTTTCTTCAGTGAAGAACTGGACTCTGTAACAGAATGGAGAACCTTTGCATTCTTTGGTTCTGAAGCCTCAGGAATGAAGATGACCCACTCCTTAAGTTTCAGACATAATGACCTCACCGAGAAGGCCACCTGCCTTGAGTGAACAAACATGTGGTGTGGTGAGTGTGCTGGCAACAATAAAACGACGGTTACAGCCATCCAAACGGATGCTCACTCACTGCTGTATTGTGGCTCTGGGCATTGAGGAATAATTGTGGGGGGTCTGATTAGTAGCGTGCCTGTCTCGGGTATTTAATGAACAGTTACATAGTACACACATGCACACACACACGCGCATACATACACACACACACACACACACACACACACACACACACACACACATACAGTCTACAGAACAGTTTTGCCTCAAGCCATGGGGCTGGGGGCTAAAGTGCAACAAAATGAATTAACCCTAGATTATAATCATGAGTTCATTAATCTAATCTTCTTAAAATCTTAATCTCCTTCAGCCACACTTGTGTGTATGAAAGCATTTGGTCAAGTCAGCTGTCAGAGAAGGCTTCAATGAGCAGAAGCAGCGAAGGTCATGAAAAATGTGGATTACGCGTTACTAATGCTGAGCTTTCAGGTTACTCATGACTGTAACTTCTGGACGTTCAGCTGTTAAAGAAAGAAAGGATTATTTTGTGAATGTGGGATGAGAGTGACTCTTGAGATTTCAAGCCCTTGTGCGGAAAAAAAAGCTAAATGTGTGTAAAAAGAAAAGACTGCTGAAAAACACACAAAGGCATCCTCAAAGGCCTGACAACTGAGGAACAGCAGCAGCTTTAACGCCTCAGAAGCAGCTGCTGAGTGACAGAATGAGGGACCGAAGAGCATGGAGGGAAACCCGAGAAGTGTGGCATCCACCCTGCAAAGGAGGCTCCTGCTGCTGGAGTTCAGTTCAGTGCAACAAAACAATCCCACCCAGCCCCCCAAAACGCTGCCTTTTGTTTGGATAGAGATGACACTGCAGTGAGGAAAAATCTATCAAATAAAGAATTGTTTAACAACTTGTCAAATCATTTAAAGCACTGGTGGACTCAAATGGACTTTGGTTCTGAGTCTGGCCCATGTTGGGTTCTGTGGTCGGCTTGAAGGGTTCTGCCATCCCTCCTGGAGCCAAGGAGGTCACCAGAAGACTCTCATGAGCTGTGGCTCCGAGTCTGGCCCAGGTCGAGCTCACTGGTCGGATACGAGGGCTCTGCCATCCCTCTTGGAGCCATGGAGGTCCCTGGTGGGATCCCAAGGTCTTGGGTACCGAGCTTGACTGAGGGCGCTCTGGGTCAGATCCACCGGTCAGGGACCCCCCACCAGGGCTCTTACAGGCTTCCGGGTGGGTCCCAGGTCCTGGCTTTGGGTCGGGCCCAGGCACCCAGGTGCGAGTCTACGGGTCAGAAACCCTCTCCGAGACTCCTGTAGGCTACTGGAGGGCCCCCGAGGCCCAGGTACTGAACTGGGCCCGAGTCAGGCACTCGGGGCTGGATCCATCTGTAGCAGACCCCCCCTGCTCCTGGAGGCCGCTGGAGATTTAAAGCATAGGTGTGGACTATAACATGAACAATAGCTTTGACACACATCGTTAGAAGTGGCATGCCTAAATTAAATACTGCCTTTTATTAAATGTCAGTATCTGTAGACATGTTGGGGCCTGTCTCAACAAAGAAGTTCACACACTCACACACACAAAAGTCTTAATTTCTCAAATTCCTGAGTATTTGTTGCTCATAACTACACAGAAAACATGTAGCCTCCTTTCCTACTATTCTAAACTGACCCGTTTGTTTGTTGTCCAGAAAAGTTGACTTAACGCAGTGGCATTCTTCATACATTCTTTATAAATCTCCCAGGCACTCAAATCTTTCTGAAAATGCCAGGAATTTGGCTGTGGAAACAGTCTCATGCTCCTCAGAGGGACTTGACCTGCAATCATATGATCATTAAATACAGTTGAATATGTGGAGTCAGGCCTGGTACTGCAGGAGAGAGAAGATGCTAGTCTGTGTCTGCTCTATATAGTCAGTTTTTTTAATTGCGTGAATATTAAAGGAAACATTTGCTTCTCAGAAATCACCAGGCTCGAGCTACATTAGAACTAAAGACCCTAAAATTGTGCATCTATAATTTATTTTCCTAAAAACACACAGAAATCAAATTTTAACTTGATTGCTGTGAATTTAAACCCCAAACTTTGCAACTTAATGATCATCAGAATTTTTCACTAAGACAGTCAAGGCTTTAATGCATATTTTAGTTACTCACGCCGGGTTAAAAAATGCACAGAGAGCATATTTTAACAGTTGGCTCGAAAATTCTAAATAATTTATTAACATTTCTGTGAGACTGCAACTGTCTGAGGATAGTGATGATGGGCGTGTTGAACAGGATCTTGCCTTTCTAATCCACTGCTGCAGACCAGACTATTAGTGTCTCAGCTACATGTGCAACATCATGCTTAGTGTTCTGACTAAAATGCAATCTGCTGTGATTATAAGAGTGAAAATTATACAGCTTTCACCATGGGAGTCTCTTGGTGTGTCTGTGTCATCATTGCAACATGGTGTTAGCTTTACTCAGTTGTTATTGGAATAAAGTTCAATTTTGAAATATATAGAAATAATAAATTACCTGCACTTGTACAGCGCCTTTCAGAGTCAGAGGACTCCAACTCCTTACACAGAGAGTATCATTCATCCATTCACACACACACATTCACACACTGATGGTGATGAGCTACATTGTATCCACAGCTGCTCTGGGGCATGCTGATGGAGGCGAGGCTGCCAGGCACAGGTGCCACCGGTCCCTCCGACCACCACCAGCAGGCAAGGGGGGTTAAGTGACTTGCCCAAAGACACAACAGCAGAATTCTCGGTCCGGAGCCAGGATCAAACCTGCAAACTTGCGATTACATATACCGGTATATATATATATATATATATATATATATATATATATATATATATATATATATATATATATATATATATATATATATATATATATATATATAGATATAGATATATAGATATAGATATATAGCTAGATAGATAGATAGATAGATAGATAGATAGATAGATAGATAGATAGATAGATAGATAGATAGATAGATAGATAGATAGATAGATAGATAGATAGATAGATAGATAGATAGATAGATAGATAGATAGATATTTGAACTTTATTCAAACAACAACTGAGTAACAATATGTTGCTTCAACTTCTTAACACTATTAGGGACTTCTTGCATGCTTGCAAATGGATTTTCAGCACATTTCATGTTGTTTTACTCTGCTTTGTCTCAGCCAACAAGATCTCAATGTTGAATTAAAACAATTTCCCCTCAGAAATGTTGAACTGAAGTGATTGTTGCGTTCATGTGGGCAGATAGTCTGGCAGTAGCCTGGCAAGCCAGTTCACTAGGCTGAGTCTGGCAGGTGTTTTGGGGGTGATTCATGGCATTTGTTTGGGACAATAAAGAAAAGGCTTTTCAAGGGAACTTCAGCTGATTGGTCAATAACAGTAGAAATGGGCGGTATCAGCAAAATGCAGCGGATGCTTTCAGCTGATTGGCTATTAGCAGCAAGAGTAGGCGGGGTCAGAACAACACAACGGCTGCCTTGGCTCTTTTCTCTCCGCTCTCTTCGTAGGCTTGTGGCTTTAGACCGTAAAACACACGGCTACTAACTTTTCTCATTGTTCGTCCGCGGACACGCTCAGAGCTCGAGGATAGACCAATGGCCCACATGTTTTTTAGCTGTTTAGTTCGGAGCTTCGCTTTAAACTCGGAAGGCAGATTTGTCTAAACTGCGGCGCAACTTCAAACAGAATCGACGACGAAGTTGTAGCCGAGATAAAGGAATCCGGTTCGGCCCTGCTGTCCCTTTCAAGGTAAGCATTAGACGCGTAATCCTCCTAAAAGTGTGGACCACGAGGAGTTGTGCTTTTGTGACGGTTCTTTCGTTTCCGAAGTGTGAGGAGTTCCGTTACATGGGTGTAATCCGGGAGCCTTTGAAGTCGGATGTCACGAGCAGCAGGCTGGATGTTTTCCGACTGCTGCTAACTTTGGAGGAAAGTTGAGCGCAGGCTGAAACGCTGACCAGAGTTTACTGCACAAAACAAGTTGGATTTCACGCTAAGTTCCTCCACGGAAGTCCACCGTCCTCTTTCAGCGGAACTCAATAGGCGACTTAAATTTATCTACTTTGAAACAATAGAGGCTTCAAAGCGGAAGTGATTTATTTGGTCATGTTCTAATAGACTGCTTTGTGCAACCCCTTTGCTGACGGTTATTTTTGTGAAACGATCAGGTCTATCTGGTTCAGCACATAGACGTGCTCTAAATATAGGTTTAAATCTCATTAAATCATGCCTTCCTACTTATTACAGGAGCTGTGAGTGTACACAAACCTTCAGTAGATGATCTGAAGGATTCTGTTTTAATCTGTTCCAGTCTGGTTGCATAAGTGTATCCTTAAGGAGGTGCTTTGGGGTGTCACATCAATATGTGGGCTTGGAAGCTTTGCTCTTGGCACCATCTTGCATGTGAGCCAGCTGAGGAACAGAGTGAGCTGGTAGGAATTTATTGGCTTTTCTTTAGTTGGAGGTGACTCACAGCCCTGAATTGTTTATAGGGGCCCTAAGATGTGATTCAGGATAGCACGCCCAGGTGTTGCTTCTTTGCTTAACATTGGTTACAGAGTTGTCCAGTCAGCTTAGGTTCAGCTAGTTCTGACAGTGATGTATGTTTTATTGATTTTTCCAGCATACATCTTTATGACAGAGTATACGCAACGTGTTTCCTTTGAAGACCTCCTTATCTGATCTTCTTTCATCTGCCTGCTGTTTAAAGTTCATTTCCGCTGAACTGATAAAAGTCTTAGTTTGGAACAATCATTTAGCAGCTGCTGGTTTTGTTCATTCAGAATAAAAGTCTGGTAACGTTCACTCCAAGTGAGGGGCATGTTTAGAAAACCACCTTTCTCTCCAGCTGTGTTAGGAATCAAACTGTTGGCTCAACGTGATGTGAAGCATTGCCTCTTTCCAACTGCTTCTTTTTTGCCATATAGGTCGAAGTCAAGATGTCCGTCACCAGCCACGAAAACAGAAAGTCTCGCTCCAGCTCTGGCTCCATGAACATCCAACTGTTCCACAAAACTTCCCATGCTGACAGCTTGTTGACTCAACTCAACCTGCTGCGCAAGCGAAGAGTCTTCACAGATGTTGTGCTGAAAGCTGGAAACCGCTCCTTCCACTGTCACCGGGCTGTCCTTGCCTCCTGCAGCCGGTACTTCGAGGCCATGTTTAGTGGTGGACTCCGGGAGAGCCGCGATGCCGATGTCAACTTCCACGACTCCCTCCACCCTGAGGTGCTGGAGCTCCTACTCGACTACACATACTCAGCCAGAGTTATCATCAATGAGGAGAATGCAGAGTCACTTCTGGAAGCTGGGGACATGCTTCAGTTCCACGACATCAGGGATGCAGCGGCAGAGTTCCTTGAAAAGAACCTCCATCCATCCAACTGCCTTGGGATGATGCTGCTATCAGATGCCCACCAGTGCCAGAGACTGTATGAGCTGTCCTGGAGGATGTGCCTTGGAAACTTTTCTACTCTCTTCAGAACAGAAGATTTCCTCAGCCTGCCCAAAGACAAAGTCCAGGAGCTGATCCTCAGTGAGGAACTGGAGGTGGAGGACGAGAGCCTGGTGTATGAGGCCGTTATCGACTGGGTGAAGGCGGACATGGAGCGAAGACACAATGAGCTACCTGAGCTGCTACGTTGTGTCCGCCTGGCACTGCTGCCAGAGTCCTACCTACTGAACAATGTTGCTTCAGAGGAGCTGGTGATTTGCCACAAGGTGGGTCGAGAGATTGTTGAAGACGCTGTTCGGTGTAAAATGAAGATCCTTCAGAATGACGGGATTGTAACGGGGTTCTGTGCTCGGCCAAGAAAAGTCAGTCAGGCTCTGCTTCTGCTGGGTGGACAGACTTTCATGTGTGATAAAGTCTACATGATTGATAACAAGACCAAGGAAATCACCCCCAAAACGGACATCCCTAGCCCAAGGAAAGAGTGCAGTGCTTGCGCTATTGGTTGCAAGGTATGTTTGTGATGCCAACTGCAATATAATCATCTTGTAAAATGTTTGGTGACGAAAAAAAATATTTTCCTGTCCTTCTGCTTTAGGTTTATGTTACTGGAGGCCGTGGTTCTGAGAATGGAGCCTCCAAGGATGTCTGGGTCTACGACACGTTACATGACGAGTGGTCAAAAGCAGCTCAGATGTTGGTTGCCAGATTTGGACACGGTTCTGCAGAACTCGACCATATGCTTTATGTGGTGGGAGGACACACTTCTCTGGCGGGGTCCTTCCCCGCCTCTCCATCTGTGTCTCTAAAGCAGGTAGAACAGTATGACCCTCAGACCAATAAGTGGACTCTTGTTGCCCCGCTTCGAGAAGGGGTGAGTAATGCTGCCGTTGTCGGTGCCAAAAACAAACTCTTCGCCTTTGGCGGCACCAGTGTCAACAGAGACAAATATCCCAAGGTGCAGTGCTTTGACCCCTGTCAGAATCGGTGGTCCGTCCCAGCTGCTTGTCCGCAGCTATGGCGGTACACGGCGGCAGCTGTAGTCGGTAACCATGTTGTTGTAATCGGAGGCGACACTGAATTCTCGGCCAGCTCTGCATACCGGTTCAACAGTGAAACGTATCAGTGGTCAAAGTTTGGTGATGTAACAGCCAAGCGGATCAGCTGTCATGCTGTGGCATCAGGAAACAGACTGTATGTGGTTGGAGGCTACTTTGGGGCTCAGAGGTGCAAGACACTAGACTGTTACGATCCATCATCAGACTCCTGGGACAGTGTGACCAGCGTGCCCTACTCACTCATTCCTACTGCCTTTGTCAGCACATGGAAGTACCTCCTGTCATAGACACACATGGACACTTGTGTTTCTAGGTGAGTAATTGTAGCTTCCTTTAACTGACACATAAGACCAGATGTTAGTTATGTTGTACTGTCAGGTAATATATGGGAGCTCGCCATAAAAAGAGGCGTCACATAAATCTGCTCTTACCACACTGTTGCGTAGCTATAGGCCCACGCAAGTGACACTTTGAACCCCATGCGGCCAGTTTAAAGCCTCCAAATGTTTTCATGGTTGCTAGGGTAACGGTTGTTAAAGATTTTCTAAGTGCTGGGTGCTAGATAAACACGTTGGAGTCCGGGTTTATAGAGCAAAAGGAATGTCTGTGGTGCTGATAATTACAAAGCCTGAGCTGCGAGATGAAGCCTCTGTCGCCGACTAGAGTGCCATGCAGAGTCGGGGGTTCAGGTCTGTGCTTGTAGTATCAGGAGTCAAGCCAGCAAGGTGCTGTTCAGGACCAGCCTCAACCCTCTTGACCAGTCTTTATTAGACAGGAACCTAGCAGAAGGGTTGTGTCATAGTTTAGTATAAGACTGAGATCATACATTTTGAGATCGCCAGCAAGACCTTAAATGTTCATTAATGAAGTAAAATCTCCAAATTTTCATGCAAGTTCACTTTTTTTCTTGACTCATCATTCACTCGTTTTGTTCAGTAAATCTCCTCAGGGCTCTAGTATTAATGAATGCTTTGTGTGTCGTTCTCTATGGGGGGCGGAATGCTTTGGCGCTCCTGTTTCAGTGGGTAGAAGTTATTTTTTGGGTGGGGGTGGGGGGCTTCTGTTCTTACTTATTAATATTCATGATAAGCAAATGCCTCAACTCTGATTGGCTAACATCAGTGCAACATTTCCACTGCTTCCATTCGCTCTACTTTATTGGGTAAAAATACATTGTTGATGTTTCATCTCCACAAATAACACCAGCCTGGATGTGTTCACCGTGTTTTGGAGTTGGCTGCTAATGATTAGCTTCCACTAGCCACACTCTGCTCTCTCCTTTCCTTGGTCACAAGCCAAGGTGGGCGAGGCCATTAATAATAATTATTTTTTGTGATCAGAATGTTTTCTCTTCCATTTCCTTTAGTGACCAATGCAGGCAATGGGGCTACTCGGTCACTGATCGCATTACGAAAAGAACATGAATCACAGTGTCTCAGTGAATGAGACTTTTGACAAAAATAATAAAATTCTCTAGTTGTTTCCAAAATGTATAAAAACTACTTCAGTAACAAAAACGTTGACAGAAGAATCTGTTCAGTTCAAAGGACTAAAAGTAGGTCAATGATATTGGATTCAGGGATGGAGCAGGGGAAGAAGGAGGCTGCTCACACCTCAAAGAAAGGAAAATTTGATTTCCTGACATGCATCATTTCAAACCGCTTGGCTCCGTCTGCCTGGTGGAAAGACAGGTGGTGGTTTTCACAGTTTTGTGTTAGATAAGAGATTTTCCCTCAGGTGTTCCTAGGTGTTTGCAGAGGGAGAGGAAGGAGCAGACATGAAAGGAGGAGATTTCCTGGTGCTTTGCAGGTTGTTTTTACTCATGCCCCGGGTACATTTGGACTTTTGTACCGTTACAATCTTTTTTTAATCAGCTTAAGAGACTGAAGTTTAAATCAAAAGTTTAAGTTAAAAAAAATCTGAGAAGGATCACTGATTCCATTAATATGGATTTTTTAAAATTATTATTATTTTACCTGATGACTCCCTTTACATTTGACAGACTCCAAACGGTCTTTTTTTCCATAAGACATTTGAGATGTAGCAAGCAAGAATCAGACGGCTTATGTGTGGCTTGTGTCTACAATAAACAGCTGGAGACGGAGCTGGGGGCTTAGCATTATGGGACTGCTGGTTTGGCCTGCTGCATCCATGGTAGCCAAGGATGGAGACAGACAGGCTGACTATGAAAAGATCAAGGCATCACATCTTTATGAATTCTCACACTTTGAAGACATCAGCTGCCCGCTGCTGACTGTTTTTATCTTTAATTACTGTAGAGATGGAAAAAGCTTCAGTTTCCATCTCACTAAGTTACACTTCTGCTCTGAGCTCGATGCAGTTGAGCTCTGAGAGAGAGAGAGGAAACGGACAAATGCTGGAACTAAAGGTGGCATCTTGGCTTTTCTTGTGGATAATGCATTCTTATAGTCCTGACCCTCACATAGCAGTTTAAACTTAAGGTTCCTGTCACTTCAGGTCAGCTACACACACAGTGGGGGCAGCCAAGATAGACCAACAGAAGCTAAACAACATTCTACACAGACCACTGCCTGCTTAAAAATACATCACCCTAGAGGCTGTCAACTTTCAGTTGAACGTTGAGGTGTGTGTGTTTGTGTGTGTGTGTGTGTGTGTGTGTGTGTGTGTGTGTGTGCACTTTTTGTTGCAGCTGAAAAACCACAAGTCAGCTGTTTAAGCATTCACTGGTAGTATTGTAGGTTTTTATGCAGTTGTAAAATCCCACTTGTTTTCCACTCTCTCGCTCACACACACACACTGCTGGCATCGCCTGTTCTTTAGCGAGCCATCCAACCTTGCTCTAATTTGGGAGGAATGAAGGTGTGGCCTGCATTCCCATTAGTAACGATTTGTTAATGTCGCCCTGTGGTCCAGACCTCTATGGGATTGTCGAGCTCGGCTCTTTTTGTCACCAAACTAGTGTGCTGTTGCCTCCTGTATTTCCACCAGATGTGACTTACCGCAGACTCAAGGAGCCAAGCCAGAACCCACTGCTGATGGAAACTTATTTGTAGTTGGTAAAGCGCTTTTTGTATTTATGGTTCAGACTGGAGTAAACAGTGGTCTCAGTCAGGCTTAAATCATGCCCCAGGTTTAGTGTTTTATTATTTTTTTCTCTGTACAATCTTAATAATCACCTGTTAAATGTTTCTCTGTAGTAAATGACTCTAGGGTAATGCTCTTATTACTTCCTTTATCTTTGTGAAAACTCCTGACATTCATTGTGTCGTTTGCTAGTTTGAAAAAGTTGATTTTACCACACTGTTCTGGTCTGATGTTTACAGATGTTTTACTGCAAAGATCAGACTGAGCTGTGATTGCACATCTGGATGGTGCCAGTTTAATGCAGAGTTTTCCCATATTGGATTCACAATGCTCTGCAGCATAAACAAGACCTCTGCAGGATATTTTTGCACGTAATCTTCCCAGTAACTGTTGACTGATGGGTGCAGTAACTTTAAACCACACAATGGCCAACAGTGTCGTCATGGTGATGTATGTTTGCACATGATCCAAATGCAGGACAGGAAGTTTAAATGCAAATCTAGGTCAGTAGACTCATTAGTTATCTTCAGCTCCTCACTTAGCTTGAGCAAATTGTTTTCTCCCTTCAAACCACTAAACTATCCGAGGTGTCCATCTATCATTGAGCTTTTTCTGCTCTCTTCCCTCGTCTCCACACGTCACACAGACTTTATGAGCCTTTTTCTTTTTAACAGCTTCAAATGAAACTTTTATGAGGTGGGCCGGCTCAGTGTGATAGGGTCCACCAGTAGAGGTTGACAGCCACAGAGGGACTCCTGGACGGACCGGCAGCATCTTCAGACAGCTGTTATAAAATGGAAAGGTCACGGCAGGATCAGGAAGGAGGAGTGCAACGGGCCCAGTCGGTCAATACCAATGTTTTATTAATGCCTGGCTGTGGGGGCCACCAGGCACACGAGCTGAAAGAGGCTTTTATTGTGGCATCTGTGTACATCATCCACCACCTAGACTTGTACGCGCGCAAACATGCAGCGAGCACGTGCGCACACACTTTGTCTCCATTCCCTCGAGTAATCAGCTTGCCACATTACAGCCCTCAGCAGGGCTGCTTAGATTTGCATAAACCTAATGGAGTTTTTATTGGCCCTTTCTCCATGAGAGCAACAAAACGGAAAAGGAAAGGCGATGCCTGAAATGGCTGAATAATCGCCTAGACTAATTTGATTACACCCTCAAAAAGAGACGAGCTGTCATACAGTTCCAGGGGCCTCTTCAGGAAGCCAGCTGGGGTGGGACGGAGCCGGTGTCTCTCTGGTAATTAATCTGAATTACACAATATTTGCAGAAGGACCAAAGTGGTGCTTATTCACTTGCACAGATGTGCTTTATTCCTGTTTTAAACTGGACTTTTGTGAGGCTCCATCAAGCCGCGCTGCTCTAGAGCTCGTTGTGGAGTCCTACACTTTCAAAACTCATGTAAATGAGTGATGTGCTGGTCAATACAGTCTAGTCGTAGGTGTTCATTAGTAAACACAGCACAGACCAGGATGCACACAAGGGAGCAGGGCTCAGCTTTGGTTTGGGTTACTGTTGGGGTAATTGGGCTTCTGCAGGACGCAGGTGTGATCCGAGGGACAAAACTACATGAAAGGAAGAAAAGGAACGTTCTGAAGCAGGTGGTGGTTTGATAAATGTGGCTTAATGCTATTGTTTTCTTTTTGTATTCATCAGTGTTTGGTCATCTGTATTATTCTGGAGTTTTACCTGATAGATGAGGAGTTAACCTAACAGAAAAATACAGCTCAGACTGCTCGTATAGTCAGAAATATGGGTGAAAGGTGAAGACCGTAACTGATATGGCTCTGTGTTGCTTATTATCGACCTTGGCGAGTAATAATGGAGGCGCTGAGACGGTGTGGAGGTTATTCCTGGTGACAGCCTCTTGTAGTTTGATCGAAAGCGACAGAGAGGGTGGAGTTTGTGGTTTGGGGGCTGTGATTTGTTTTCTAAAGCATCACCAGAACTCAATCATAAGTGAAGAGTTGTTTACTGTAACTTTTCATCTGTTGACCAAAGTTCAGGTCATGCTGGTGGCTATGACAACAAATCTGTCCTGTTGAAGTTAACTCTGTGCACAGGAATTTTCTGAGATGAAATAAGAATTCAGCTGCAGATCTAATGAAAGAATGATCTGTTGTTTAAGTTTGAGTCATCCTTTAAGACGAGCAGCAGCAGAACTCCGAGAGTTCAAGCTAGTTTAGCTTTGTAGAAGCAGGAGGAGCGGATTAATCTGTAACTGTTGCTTATATCTGGATTTTGTAACCTTTGGACCGATCTAGGCCAGCTGTCGTGATATACCTCTCTAGTGTCATTATTGTGTCAGAAAGAGCAGAATAGTCAATAAGGTGATCCGCTTTGATGTGATGGCCTTTTCTGTTATGCCTTAGTCTTCTCGGCTGTGTGAGAGCATCGTTAGATTGGAGTGAAACTGAAAAACCACACGAACAAAGCTGCATCAGAGTGAATCACTCCTTGTGTTGTGCTACCTGGGTTTCCACTCCCGTATTGCCTCACATGTCTGGTGCTTTTAAATCACATTTGTAGCCTAAATAGGAGAATAAATAAATGCAGAGTCATACTAGGATACAAACATGACATGGGTTGTTTTGGGTTACTTCAGGATGGAAACATTTTTGTTGCAGTGTCAAAATCAGTAGGACTATTGCCTCTTAATAGGTGTGATTAGATCTCTTTAAGTTCAACTGTATTGTTACTACTAGGAGTAAGAAACCTGAAATCATAAACCTGCCTCTTGTTCACACACCTGTTCTTTTTTCTTTTAGAGATCCGATAACTTAAATCAAATATGTTTTTCTTCCCCTAAAAAGTTTAAATTCACAAGCTGGACATGTTTTTCTCCCACATTAAATCCCGAAACTTGCTTTGTTGCTTCCCTGTTGTTCCAGTGTCATAAAGCCCTACCTGTGTCCTGCTGTCATTTGGCTTTAGGCGGGCTATTCTCAACAGAATGTGTGTGTGAATCAGCGAAACTCTTCTGTAATGTCAGCAGGGTTTTTTCCAGCCATGACAATGAGAGATCATGAGTTTATCCAAGCACGCCTCCAGCAGAAACCTGAACGCAGAGACTCTTGTCTTCCGTAGCAGAGCTGTCATCAGAAACATGCAAATCAGCAGCAAGCTGCATGTTTAACCTCCTTTAGTATCCGGTTAAAATTCTGTGCTAAATTAGATGTTGATTTATCTGAGGCTGCAGAGAAAAGCCTGAGATGAAAGTTTCCACAGAGTTTATTTCAGCGTTAACTGTGACAGTGATGCAGGAATCTGCAAACTGCTGCATAAGGGATGAGCCATGTCTGGATTAGCGGTATATGCTTTTTATTAATCTGAGCTTATTTTCACGGTGGGATCCCCTCCACTGCCATCCCCAAATATTTATTACTTGGCTACAGAAAAGGATTGAGCAGTTAAATCCCACATGCTGTGGGGGGGGGTTTGTAGTTAAAAGATGCCCCATCCTGAGGCCTTATGAAAGGCTATGTGGGTAAGCCTGATAAAATGACATGGTGATAAGCTGATGTGCAGCCTAGAGGACTGAAGTCCACCCCTCTGGTCATGTGTCCAACTTTCACATAGACTCTCTGCAGCAGAGCTCACAAGAACCAAACATTCATTTCCCTCTTTCTCTTTCTCCAGATGAGCCACCCTGTCTGGAATGTGGGCACGTGTCTCTCCTCACTGGCTCCAGGGAGGAGGAGGATGATGGCAGAAGAAGGAGTTTGTGTGTTCTCGCCGTGGCTCCATCCAGCCTTACGGATTTTCAGCTGCAGATGAGCAAAGGCCTGAAAAACAGCCAAGAGACTGAAAGTCTGCAGCCTTTTCCCACCTGATCTGTTTACTCGAACGTCTTGTGTAACTTTCCCATGAAGCCCGCAGGCTGAGAAGGACTGGTTGCCATGTCAACAGCAGAGATCTCACAGCCATCTCAGCTCCAAACCTGCAAACTTCTTCTTTTTGCCCCCTCTTTCCTGCTGGGACAAATAAGCTACTGTATCAGCCTTGCACTGGTGCCTTTCCAGTTTTACTGACTGTTGTACAGACGTTGTTTTATTGGTTTTCCTCTCCCCTCCTCACACGTTTACTCAGGTGGACCTTTGCTAAGCCAGGCATTTGGAGAAGGAGAGAAGGCGTTTTGTGGAAGTGTATGATTTTGTGCACAGAAATATTCTTCCTGTCTGTATTTTAAGCGTTTGGACTTGGGCTTCCCTCAATTTTGGTGAGCTAAATTTGTACTTTCCCCCACAACTTAAAGGAAAAAAAAAACAAACAAGCTCATGGGAGAGAATGTTGCCCATCAGGGCTGAAGGAGATACTTATCCGTTTTAAAATATTTTTTCAGACTATGACTTTTTCAGTTTGGTGTCTCAGGGTTTTCTTTGTTTGCCTGTTTTTTCAAAGAAGGGTTACATCTTTATCTTTCTGTCCTAGTTTTTGTGAACGTGCTATTTTTCTGTTTTACTGAAGTCTTTTGTAAAAATAAAACCTTGTATTGTGAAAATGTTTGATCATGCTTAATGAAAGTGATCCTAAAATAAATGCAAACAAAACTCACTTTTGGGTCATTTTGAATTTAAATAAAAGCTAAAAGTTGTGTAACATTTTATTTCTTTCACCCTTTGAAATCTCGAAGTCTTTGTGTAGAGTTTGTACATTTGAGTAGTAATTATTTTCTAGAAGCCACTGATTTGCACAAAGTTGTTCAGAGAAGTTTTTGTCTTAATTTTTTCCATATTTAGTTTTAACCCAGTTTGGGCTTTGTGAATAAACTGTTTTTGTAGCATCGTATCTCTATCATGTTCTACATTTGCAAATTGTGCAAGTCAGCAATATATCAAAGTATAACATGACTTACTGATATGTTAAGATTTTACTGATACAACCTGTTACTCAGAAGTTGCCAATAAACTGAACTTTAGTAAAACAAAACAATTCCTGTGTCCTCTACCCTTTTTTTAAGTAGAAAAGCATGAGATAAAAATTGTTTCCAAAGAAAGTTAGAAAAACATTTCAGTGTTTAGCACTAAAAATTAAGGTTTATTCTCAGATTTGTTGCCGTAGACGGAGATGAAATGCTCTGCACAAACCATGAGGTGATGCTCCACCAGGACTGATGCTGCAGTGGTTACATTAGGAACAAAAGTGCTGCAGGGCAGTCTGGATTTGCTTACTGCTGCTGTTGGATGGGAGAATTATCTGCAACTACTGAGCAGTTGGTACCATTGCTGCTGTGTTCCATTTAGAACAGTTATCATGGCAATGTTTTCACATTTAAAGTATTTTTTTAATTACTTTTAGTAATCCCAAATATCAAACCTGCATGCTCAGTCAGCTGTGTGTCAGAACCTTGCTGTGTTTGCAAAATAACATTGAATTTCTTGTAGCCTAGGATGAAATGTTTTAGCTTGGCAAGCTATTTTATACATGTGAACATACAGTCAGGTCCATAAATATTGGGACATCAACACAATGCTAACATCTTTGGCTCTATTCACCATCACAATGGACATCAAATGAAACAAACAAGATGTGCTTCAACTGCAGACTGTCAACATTTATTTGAGGGTTTTTACATCCAAATCAGGTGAACGGTGTAGGAATTACAACAGTTTGCATATGTGCCTCCCACTTGTTAAGGGACCAAAAGTAATGGGACAGAATAAGAACCATAAATCAAACTTATACATTTCAATACTTGGTTGCAAATCCTTTGCAGTCAATTACAGCCTGAAGTCTGGAACACACAGACATCACCAGACGTTGGGTTTCATCCCTGGTGATGCTCTGCCAGGCCTCTACTGCAACAGTCTTCAGTTCCTGCTTGTTCCTGGGGCATTTTCCCTTCAGTTTTGTCTTTAGCAAGTGAATGCATGCTCAATCGGATTCAGGTCAGGTGATTGACTTGGCCATTGCTAACCAGTCCACTTCTTTCCCTTCAAAAACTCTTTGGTTGCTTTTGCAGTATGCTTTGGGTCATTGTCCATCTGCACTGTGAAGCGCCGTCCAATGAGTTCTGAGGCATTTGGCTGAATATGAGCAGATAATATTGCCTGAAACACTTCAGAATTCTTCGTGCTGCTTTTGTCAGCAGTCACATCATCAGTAAACACAAGAGAACCGGTTCCACTGGCAGCCATACAGGGAGTGCAGAATTATTAGGCAGAGTATTTTGTCCACATCATCCTCTTCATGCATGTTGTCTTACTCCAAGCTGTATAGGCTCGAAAGCCTTCTACCAGTTAAGCGTATTAGGTGATATGCATCTCTGTAATGAGAAGGGGTGTGGTCTAATGACATCAACACCCTATATCAGGTGTGCATAATCAGGTGTGCATAATTATTAGGCAACTTCCTTTCCTTTGGCAAAATGGGTCAAAAGAAGGACTTGACAGGCTCAGAAAAGTCAAAAATAGTGAGATATCGTGCAGAGGGATGCAGCAGTCTTAAAATTGCAAAGCCTCTGAAGCGTGATCATCGAACAATCAAGCGTTTCATTCAAAATAGTCAACAGGGTCACAAGAAGCGTGTGGACAAACCAAGGCGCAAAATAACTGCCCATGAACTGAGAAAAGTCAAGCGTGCAGCTGCCAAGATGCCACTTGCCACCAGTTTGGCCGTATTTCAGAGCTGCAACATCACTGGAGTGCCCAAAAGCACAAGGTGTGCAATACTCAGAGACATGGCCAAGGTAAGAAAGGCTGAAAGACGACCACCACTGAACAAGACACACAAGCTGAAATGTCAAGACTGGGCCAAGAAATGTCTCAAGACTGATTTTTCTAAGGTTTGATGGACTGATGAAATGAGAGTGAGTCTTGATGGGCCAGATGGATGGGCCCGTGGCTGGATTGGTAAAGGGCAGAGAGCTCCAGTCCGACTCAGACGCCAGCAAGGTGGAGGAGGAGTACTGGTTTGGGCTGGTATCATCAAAGATGAGCTTGTGGGGCCTTTTCAGGTTGAGGATGGAGTCAAGCTCAACTCCCAGTCCTACTGCCAGTTTCTGGAAGACACCTTCTTCAAGCAGTGGTACAGGAAGAAGTCTACATCCTTCAAGAAAAACATGATTTTCATGCAGGACAATGCTCCATCACACGCGTCCAAGTACTCCACAGCGTGGCTGGCAAGAAAGGGTATAAAAGAAGAAAAACTAATGACATGGCCTCCTTGTTCACCTGATCTGAACCCCATTGAGAACCTGTGGTCCATCATCAAATGTGAGATTTACAAGGAGGGAAAACGGTACACCTCTCTGAACAGTGTCTGGGAGGCTGTGGTTGCTGCTGCACGCAATGTTGATGGTGAACAGATCAAAACGCTGACAGAATCTGTGGATGGCAGGCTTTTGAGTGTCCTTGCAAAGAAAGGTCGCTGATTTGTTTATGAATGTCAGAAATGTATATTTGGGAATGTGGAGATGTTATATTGGTTTCACTGTTAAAAATAAATAATTGAAATGGGTATATATTTGTTTTTTCCTAAGTTGCCTAATAATTATGCACAGTAATAGTCACCTGCACACACAGATATCCCCCTAAAATAGCTCAAACTAAAATATACTTCCAAAAACATTCAGCTGTGATATTAATGAGTTTTTTGGGTTCACTGAGAACATGGTTGTTGTTCAATAATAAAATTATTCCTCAAAAATACAACTTGCCCAATAATTCTGCACTCCCTGTACATGTCCACGCCATGACACTTCCAGCACCATGCTTCACTGATGAAGTGGTATGCTTAGGATCATGGGCAGTTAGTTCCTTTCCGTCTCCATGCTCTTCTCTTCCCATCACTCTGGTACAAGTTGATCTTGGTCTCATCTGTCCATAGGATGTTGTTCCAGAACTCTGAAGGCTTTTTAGATGTTGTTTGGCAAACTCTAATCTGGCCTTCCTGTTTTTGGGGACTCACCAATGGTTTACATCTTGTGGTGAACCCTCTGTATTCACACTGGTGGAGTCTTCTCTTGATTGTTGGCTTTGACACAGATACACCTACCTCCTGGAGAGTGTTGATCTGGCCAACTGTTGTGAAGGATGTTTTCTTCACCAGGGAAAGGATTCTTCGGTCATCCACCACAGTTGTTTCCCATGATCGTCCGGGTCTTTTGGTGTTGCCGAGCTCACCGGTACGTTCCTTCTTTTTGAGAATGTTCCAAACTGTTGTTTTGGCCACACCTAATGTTTTTGCTATCTCTCTGATAGGTTTCTTTTGTTTTTGCAGCCTGATGATGGCTTGCTTCACTGATAGTGACAGCTCTTTGGCTCTCATCTTGACAGTTGACAGCAACCGATTCCAAATGCAAATAGTACACTTGAAATGAACTCTGGATCTTTTATCTGCTCATTGTAGTTGGGAATATGAGGGAATAACACACACCTGACCATGGAACAGCTGAGAAGCCAATTGTCCCATTACTTTTGGTCCCTTAACAAGTGGGAGGCACATATGCAAACTGTTGTAATTCCTACACCGTTCACCTGATTTGGATGTAAAAACCCTCAAATAAAAGCTGACAGTCTGCAGTTAAAGCACATCTTGTTCGTTTCATTTGATATCCATTGTGGTGGTGTATAGAGCCAAAAATGTTAGCATTGTGTCGATGTCCCAATATTTATGGACCTGACTGTATAGTCAGCCCACGACCCATAGACTGAGCTCAGTTGTGGGGCGGGATCTAAAATTGTTTTTCAAACAGTCTGCATGCTATTGGATGCTGTCAGCAGCGAGATGTGGGGAAAGTGTGAGATATTGCTCAAATGTACTGATGTAAATCGTTTTTTTTTTATTGTTACCTTCACAATGATCTCTGTGTGTAACGTGTAAAATATCTGCGCACCAGCACAAGTCATTAAACTTACTCATGACCAAACAAACAAATAAATAATAAATAAACAAATTGCCTCTTGTAAAAACAACCGTAATGGCTGAGCCCATCGTCGATGGTTGAATAATTAGTCCCATCGCCCATCCCTATTAAGTACCTCTATCTGCTCTTGACTCAAATTCAATTCAATTCAAAAAGAGTCGTCTCAAGGCACTTCACATAGTAAACATTCCAATACAGGTCAGTTCATTAAGCCAATCAATAAAATGTTCCTACATAAAGAACTCAGCAAATTGCATCGAGTCACTGACTAGTGTCAGTTACTTTACAGCAATCCTCATACTAAGCAAGCATTTAGCGACAGTGGAGAGGAAAACTCCCTTTTACCAGGAAGAAACCTCCAGAGGATCCTGGCTCAGTAACAACAGCCATCCAGCACGACTCACTGGGGATCCAGAAGACAGATATCTCTCTCTCACTCTCTCACTCACACACACACACTTTTCATTTTGAAACCAAGTAAGAAATCCCAGAAGGCCTCAGTTAGATTTAAACCTCCAACACATTACGACCAAAACCAAACTGAAAACAACTGCTGACAGTCTATCAAGCTATCACACACACACACACACACACACACACACACACACACACACACACACACACACACACACACACACACACACACACACACACATGGACGTAATTTTGGGGGGGGACAGGGGGGACATGTCCCCCCCACTTTTTCCAAAGTCAAGTTTTGACCCCTGCACTTTTTACCATCCAAAAACAATATTACGCTATATTAAATTGACACTGGTTGAGCTCTAGGACCAAGCGGAAAGCAACTGTTTGTGTTGAAGCCTGTTTCCCCTTAGAACATATTGTAAAGATACCCCCCCACCCCCCCGTGTCCCCCCCCCCCCCCACTTCTAAAGTGAAAATTACGTCCTTGCACACACACACACAACATATATACCAAGTAATGTTTCTATGGTTACATTGTGATTTCTTAGTAGATATTCTATTTGGTGAGAGATAAACATTATTGCATTTATCCCAGTGAATCTATAATTAAATGGAGGATACTACATCATGGCGTCGGGTG